AACATAAAATTACATAGAAATAGAAATAATTACAAAATAGAGAGAGAAGGGATGAGAGAACGAAAAGAAAGAGGGAGAAAGAGAAAGGAATTATACACTACTCGCTTGTGTATACGACTGTCGCGCCTGCGCACGTCTCATTTAACGGTTTTATTCCACGCACTTTTTTCCACGGATTTTTTCTTACGGTTTTAATATCAGATTTTTTTCAGTTCGGTCGCGCATCAAAATCCCTATCCCCTCCAAGCCTGCCGTAAGGAACTTCGTTCCAAAAATAAAAAATAAACTCTAATGTTTATGGACCACACATCCACTAAACGAAACATCGATTTGAATCGAGACAGATTACAGCGCTACTACTACTACTACTACTACACTCCGCTATTCACAATTTTAGTTAATTATCTGTAAATTTACCTATATGTGTATGTGTTGAAATCAATAAACTACAAGACTAAGTAGCTACATTAATAATATATTATAATATAGAAATTAGGTTACAGGTTTCTTAGAATGTCGTGATGCGCGGAGATGCACGAGAGCTCGTGTCGCAAGGACAAAGAGCCATCAGCTATAAGTTACAGCCCACACCCATTCGGTAATCTATAAAGTAGCTAAACTTGACTTTTCATTTCGAATTTATTCGCACGGAATACGTTAAGACCAATGGTTGGAATATTCCTTTATTCATATTCGATTTACAAAATTAGTAAAGAACATCAATTTTGTTTCCTTTTTAAGTTTTTATTTTTATTTTAAAACCAAATGTCATTATATTAAAAATCTCCTTTATAAAATAACATTTTTATATACCAGAGTTCAGTAGAGCTAATAATATATTTAAGAAATGTACGTGTATATAAAGTATATAAGTATGTATATAAACTGATATAAAGGCAAGAGAACCACAACTATTTATTTCTAATTCTTTATTGTGAATAAAACACAATCCTCTCTGACAGGCCGTTATCGCCTGAAGGCATTTCACTCGAATTCAGTTTAAAAAAGTATAAAATCATAGCTTCAATTAACATATTGTCAATGCCGCTTATTATATAAAAAAATTCGCTTTATCCCACAATGGTCTTCGAAATCACGCCCCCAGAAGACCTACGGTGCGTCAACTGAATCCAAAAACATAGTTCGTCCACCGTAACGGTTCGCAAATCACATGGACACTACGATCATCAGAAAAACTACGAACAATGAATCAGACGGCCATTGAACAATAAGCGCCCCCAATATTAGCATATTCTAATGACCTAAAATATCATCTCCTTACCGTTATGTTCCGAGCTTTGTGCGTTGAGACATTATTGTCGTATTCAATAAAATGTCACGTGAAAATCTTTTGTAAAATCTTTCACAGTAAACGGTTTTGAATCCGAATTTCATCTTGAGTTAAGGATACCAGAAACAGATAGTGAAAAGCGATGATTTGCACATAAATATATCTATTATTAGGTGCAGATGCTATATTAAAAAGCAATAAAAACACTATTAAAGAAAATAATGCCAATTTCCGAGTTAGGTAGGTACATGCATATGAATCATGATAAAGGTCTTCCCCGAGCACTTTTCGTTTTGAAGAATCAAATAAACTAAAAAAGGGTATGATTTTTCCTTTCTTTTTCTATTTTATTAGCCTCGATGGGTTATTCTAGATTCGCCGAATTAGTAGGTGCGCTCACGCGGCTCAAACCTGAACCCTAGCAAGAGCCGTGCTTCGCTTCTACCACCGGATCGGAATCGCGACCCACTGAGAAGATCCGGCGAGAAACTCAGTGGGCTGTGTCTGTGGGTTAATTTACTCGCCAGCCCTACGTCGCAAGTGACGGGTTCGACGAGAACGATGACCGGTGCTTGAGGTACTTAAAAGCACCGTTAGGGAGGATCCGAAATGACGTGCTTACGGCGACGTCGACTGTTTACAATTTTTCCAATTATTTGTTGATTTATTAATGAATGTTTGTAAGCTCCATAAAAGAAAACTGCCAAAAAGGGCTATTCAGGTTATAATTCATTTAATTTATGAATAATACTTCGCAGTATTCTTATAACGGGCCCCCAATCCATAAACCTCCGATAACTCATTATGAATAAGACCGTTAGTCTTTATATCTGAAATCGGCTTCAAGCTGTGATATTATTAGGTTAAAAAATAACAGTTTTCTTTTTAATTATTTTACATAAATAATGCTGCCTACAGTCTAAAAACATATACTTTTGATCTTCGTTTAAGGATGAGTACTTATTTTTAATGCCGCAAGCCACTATAAATGTTCCAATAAGTGTAGAAACAAATAATTCCAAGGCAGGCTACGTACACGTGCTGATTGTACCGCATCCCACGTACGCGAAAGCTCCGTTAGCAAAATGTCATTGTTCATTACTTCCGAACGATCAATCATATCCCTTGAGCATCGGTCGTTGACCTCTAACATTTTTTTTTTCTTACAGCCCCAGATTCTACTAAAATTTTACCTCGCTTGTCAATATCCATCCCGGACGGTATCATGCAAGTATCAATACTAAACGAGTCAAACTAGCTAAGCCGCAATTTACTTTGTTAAAAATGTTTAAAACTGAACCATCTTTCGCCGAACGTATTACATCACATTAAATTATTATTGTAAATAAAGACCCAACAGGACAATGGGTGCAGAACAATAACTCGCATTATTATTGAGCATTGTCCGGTCTTTCGGCATTTCGCGTGTGAAAAAAAGCCAGATAATCGACTCTTAAATATACATTGAAAATAACTTTATCGCTAGTCATGTATTTTGAAGGGTCAGCAATTATTCTAACGTAGCACCCCGTGTCTATTGATTCTTACAAGCCTCTAACACTCAGGTTGGATGTGAAATCGTTTGGTCACTATGGTCATTTAAAACAAGAACTCGGAGAATTAAAATGCCCATGTTGATTTATGAGCGGTTTCAGTACCTACCTAATAAAGCTAAATCAAATAACAAATAACATCTGTGACAAAACAGTCATGTCCATAGATAGGCCACGTCATCAAAGCTGGAGATAATACAAAAAGGTTTTATTTACATTTGTTTTTTTGTTTAGAAAGGAAGGATTAGTTGGCCCGGAGGCCTTTCCAGTTTCACCAAGACAAATGATAGATCTTAAAGCTCAAAGGCGACTGCTTCGCGAATGAATCTACTACCGGATCGAGAGAAGAATTTTTCTCACTGAGAAGATCTGGGGAGGTGATAAAAAGACTCCGATAAAAAAAGCGATTATGCTCGGGCCGGTTAGCACTCATTAAGATTGTGCTTAGTGCAAGTTTTATAGCGTAAAAATTAACTCAAGTTTGTATGCAGTTGGAACAGCGCCCCTAGTGGCAAACGTTCCAACTCCATAAAATTTTAAGGTAAATTTTACGCTATCGAAAATGTTAAAAACTCGCACTAAGCACACCCAGTGCGGCTGAGAAAATTTCTTGTTTATAACACAAACGATTACTTTTAATCAAATAAGAAATTTTCAATTTGCCGAAATTTTGAATAAACAATACAATATGTTAAGCTTGCTGAGTTATTTTTTTTATTACACAAAGCATCTATCTAATTACAATAAATGAATACCGAATCTTTGTAATAAATGTATTATTTCATTGAATTTAATCCAAGAATATTCATCCTGACTACGAGACGCTTCACTGTATGTCTATAGACATACGATGGTCCCGTTTTCGATACCATCCAGAATATGTTGACCTATTTAGTTTACCTCATTAGACAATTATTATATTATAAGATGTATTACTAATGTACAATGTACTTAAATATGTATGAAAGCGTTCTACACGAGGGCAGTCGAAACAAATGAAAGTGAAACCGTAAGGCTCTGCGATTCTAAAACATGTGCCTGATTATCGATATCAAAATAGTGTATCATGGAATTATTAAAATTGTTATATGCATCCATTATAAAAATATCGAATACTGAAAATAAATTAATATTTTTAAATCACCCACTCCTCAATTATGGATACTCATTTTTTTTTGGAGATCAGTAATTGCATTTTCTAAATAGTTTTGTAAATACCTGACATCGTGTTTATTGTTTCGCTACGTTCGTGAATGACTTTCTCGTTTTAAGGAACATTAACGTCTAATAATATTTGACAATGTTCGTATCTTGTGAGTTCGCACGGGTCTGTAAGTTTCTTTAAGTTGTTAAGACCTCACCAACTTGAAGGCGGGAAAGCTATACCAATGCAATTGCGATTTTGGGAATGACTCAAGTGCTACGTCGGAAATAACTTGGTATCCAGATTGCGAGAAATTGTTAGTGTATGTTTAAAAAATTAAGCAGCTGTGTACTTTAAGCCACTCTAATTAGAGCACTTAATCAACATTTCGTATTTCTTTTTTTTCTTTTCTAAAACTACTTAGTTGGCAAATCAAATTTATTTTAGCAAAGTTAAATTCAGAAAAACCACAGTTTTGCCTGTATTCTTTGCTTTTATTTACTTATTAATTACTTTTCTTAGTTCTTTCAATAATATTTAATAAGTAATTTAACCAAAAGCATATTTTACCAACAAAAAATATTTCCTCGGAAGTAATTTTTGAAATTCGCGTTTTCTCTAACAGATAGGCTCTGAGCTCGTCTGCCCACCTACGTTATAAAAAGATTCACAAAAAAAGACTAAGAAAAAAAAAAGGGTTCGTGCTTCGTCAAATCAATTGATAAAAGATTATTTAAAATTCTTCAGATAGCCTTATTCTCTCGTTGCTTGAGAGCCGACATCAAGGTTTTATATATTGTTACGAACTATTATGATGATGACATTGAATGCACCCATCGGAAAATGAGGAGATTTTATCCGGTACTGTAACAATAGCTAAAGTATTAAGTTTAAATTTTTTTTTGGTTTTCCTTCTAATTATTTTCATCTTTTGTTTTATTCAACTACACTAAATAAGAATTATTTTTTTCAGTGAAATGTCATATTGGTGGTAGTTTGAAAAGAGACCTACCTTATACTTCATGTTCGATTTAATAGCACAACACAAACTTTTTATTTTCTACGATTCGATATTGTTAAATATTGGCGCGTAAACAGTGTTGTCTCGCGCATGCGTGCGGTGGTGCGCGCGACAATGGCCATCGTTCTATCGAACCGCTGGTTNAAGAATTATTTTTTTCAGTGAAATGTCATATTGGTGGTAGTTTGAAAAGAGACCTACCTTATACTTCATGTTCGATTTAATAGCACAACACAAACTTTTTATTTTCTACGATTCGATATTGTTAAATATTGGCGCGTAAACAGTGTTGTCTCGCGCATGCGTGCGGTGGTGCGCGCGACAATGGCCATCGTTCTATCGAGCCGCTGGTTTTGCTTCCCCGCCATCGCGGTGCAACGACCCAGCACCGTCCACTACCGACCTGTGACCAGCCGAAGGTGAAGGTAAAGGCGAAGTGCGATTACCCAAAAATGGACGAGTTGCACGCAGTTTCAAAATCGTTGCAATTCAGAAAGTCATTGAGTTCTCTAAATTTTTGCAATTGTTTTTGAATAAGACAGTCGCATTTATTTAAAAAAGAATGGCACAGTTTCCATGCTGGTTATGGGGTAAGGCCTCCGAACTAGAAATAATTCTTTCATCTTTCCCACCTTAGTGTAGGTAATAGGAAAATATCATATATTGTTCTACCAACATACATAGCCTCTGAGTTTAATTTTTAGGCTCGTATTATCATGAACCGTCGATGCCAATAGTCGACAACCCGCGGCTTGCGCTGCTGTTTGACCCCTCGGCTACGGCTCTTTAGCAAAACCTTTACTTCAAGCACAGAAATCTTCCCTGTTAAGAGATGAGTAAATATTTTTGAAAAACAAGGTTATAAAAATATATGTTAAAAAATGGTGGCTCTTTGAATAAATTTTTATTGTGTGCTATCTATGTTTGGCTCTTTAGGTGGACAAGGTTGCCGACCATTGGTCTATACTTAGCCATGGATATTTGAAAGTTATCCAGGCCACTTATGCAGCTATTAACTTGATTTTACAGGTAAAAGTTTTTGAATTGTCTAGATGTGGGAGCTCGTTCTCCACCTCATGCGACCCGTTGAGATTACAACTTGAATGCAGGTGCTCAATACGAAACACGAGCGAGAAATATTAGTTAAACATCACGGTTATCCAACGTTACAAACAAAAATGTAGGCTACTTCGCTGCAAAAATATCCACGACGTTTTTTCTACTTTAACCCATATTGGCCTGGTATTACGCTCCACCATTAGCAGCTATTATTTTTAAACCAGTTTAGTACAAGTTATTATTCCTTAATCGTTGCCGTCATTCGTAAGCATCTGCTACATGTGTATAAGCCCAATTAGTTTTTCGCCGGATCTTCTCAGTGGGTCCCAATTCCGATCCGATGGTAGATTCTGCGAAGCACTACTCTTGCTACGGCTAGTGTTAGCTAGTGTTAGCTAAAAAGCTCAACAAATGAATAAAATGCCTAATAAAATTCCAAAGTACTTCTTTTACGCCCGTTCATTTTTGAAAGGATAAGGCGCCCGGTGCATTCATGTCGAGCGTTGCGAATGTGCCAGTATTCGAATCCCGCAGGCAGGTATCAATTTTTGTAATTAAATATGTACTTAACAAATGTTTGACGACTGACTTCCATGGCTGAGGAATAACATAGTAAAATAAAAAGCAAACCCGCTAAAATTATAATTTACGTAATTACTAGTGGGAAGACGTCTTGAGAGCACGGGTGGGCACCACTGCCCTGCTTAAGTCTGCCCTGACGTAACAATTAGTTTCGGTTCAAACCGGGTGGAGAAGTCGCTCTCACCCGCTAAACTGATTGGTTTGATTTTTATTACACGATCTTATTCCTTCACCGTGGAAGTCAATCGTGAACATTTGTTATGTATGTAGGTACCTGCCAGCGGGATTCGAACACAGATCATAACCTATAGGCCACGACGACTTCACAAATTCTCACAAGTCTCATTTCCATTTTGTTTAGTCGCCTCCAACGAATAATTAATCATGAAGATGATCGTCATGAACCATATATCTTATCTTATCTTATCTTATACCTTTAAACGAGCAATTCTTGTATATTAATATATATGTATATAATCTGAATCTCGGAAACGGCTCCAATGATTTTCATAAAATTTAGTATACAGGGGATTTCGGGGGCGATATAAATCGTAGCTAGATCGATTTCTAGCTACGATTTATTTTCAGAAAATGTTTTATTCGTGTTTTCAACAATCAACTTTTCCCGACATCTATTGGCGAATAATAATACTAACCGCTTTAAAGACACAACAAGATGGCGTTATCAAAAAAAAAACCGGTCTTCATCTAGTGTACAATTAAAATAGATGAAACGGGCCAATAATATAATTATTGAAAATTCCGCTATTGACGACGACTCAAGAAGAATTCGTTAATGATTCAAAATTCCTTAAGAAATTATATACATGCAAACGTATGAAACATGTGAAAATTTACTTTAGGTTCCTCAGGACCACTTTTAAATACATTTTTATTATGTTATTAATATATTTCGGTTAGGCCACAGAAATAGTCCATCACGAATCTAAATCGAGCAGTTGCACTTGAAATTTCAAACATTGATCGTCAAGTGAAACTTTCGCTAGTCTTTCTACTGAATGCTGATGGCCTTGCGTCGATACCCGATAGAGAAAGAAACGTGAGCGGTGGTGTAGAAGCATAGAACAATCCCCTACTGTTTGTCGGCGTGGCACCTAGTATCTGAGTTAAACTAAACTGTAACTAAATACAAGTATGACTTTTACAGATGCTAATCAGTTGGTTAGATAATAAAATTTCAAATTAAAGCAAAACAAAATTAGCAACTTTGCATTTTGCGCCCCCGCCAAAAATTACGATTGTTGGCATTTTGAAACAGAAGGTGCATGGTTTTATTATTTTTGCCAGCTTAATGGACGACTCAATCAATTGGCAGCAGCTATGTGCATAATACTCTTAATATCTAAGGGACTTTTTGGCGGGAACGTAAGTAGCGAAGTTGTGTGAATTGTTTTATTTTGTCTATTTCGACGCTTGAAAGGCAAAAGTGACTAAGCGACAATAACTGCTTTGTACATAAATGATAGGCAATAACCATATTCGATGCGCAAAAAAAAAATATTTCTAGGTCTATTAAATTTCAATCCTACAGCTACTAGCTAGATTCTACTACAGCTAGATTCGTTAAAATAAATTTTGTGTTCAGGTATTTCAACTTTAAATTAGTCTACTGTAAAGTTCACGCATTGTCGCTTAGTCACGTTTGCCTTTCAAGCGTCGATTTAGTGTTTCTTCAGTTTTAAATATGTAATAACGGTGGTTTATTAACTGCTTAATATCTGTGAAATTGCACAAATGTGGGAAAATGGAACAAAGCCGCTGGATTAAGCTTCTCGGGATCCTCCAAAAAGTCCACTGAAAAAATCTCAGTAAATGACCACCATTTTACTGAGAATGTATTTCATCCCATATCATCTCATCTCATTTTATTTCATTTCATTTCACTTTATATTATCATTTTTCATAAAAATAAGAATATAAAATAAGACATGACTTAAGTGTCTTAGTTACCGGGTCAATAAATCCCTTTAAAAAAATTATCTATGTTATCTATGGACAGCAGTTTACACTAGTTTACAGTTGCCAAAAATTGTGGATATTAGAATTACACATTGTTTAACTAAAGAAAAACTCTATAAAAGTATACAAAATCAAATACTTAGTGAATCGCGATGTCTCATGAACACAGAAGCTTTTATAGAGAGATCGATCGCCGTGATCGTGATTGGGATCGACAAGAGTTTAGGAGAAGACGCCGAAGATCGAGGAGTCTGAGCAGGGACAAACGCCGCAGTCGGTCGCCCCGAAAAAATGATAAGGATATGTTAGACGAGAACATACTTAGCGAAATATCTAAATTACCTGAACCCAATGAGTTGTGGGACAATCAGTTTCAAGACGGCGGCTATCCAGCCCCTCCGCCTCCAACGTTCACTCAAGAGGTATATTGTTCAATACTCTATAGAAATCATGTACAAATGTCGCTTTTATATTTATAGATACTTTCTGTAGGAAGTTATGGGTAGGTTACTTGTGAACAATGAACAATATCATCATTTATACACATAAACATATAGTATGTGCAATCGTTTTTGAGAAACGTCCATATGCTTGAGAGAGTCGTCACTAGGCAACATTCTTTTTTTTAAAGGTCTACCTCTATTTTCACACTTAGAATATCGGATGCTTTTCTTTTCAACAAGATCCCACAAAACGTTCAACTATTACCTGTTCATAGATTTAAGAAAACTGTCAAGGAACGTTTGTGCAACAAGGCATATTATAAAGTTAAGGATATTTTACTAGATGGCACTACGTGGGAATGAGGCGTTCGCTCCCTGGCCTTTTCATTTTTCATTATTATTATTATTTATTTGAATTGTATTTTTTTGACTTGTTTTTTCATATAATGTAAATATGTTTTCTTATTAAAAAAAAAATATATATATATATATTTGAGAAAATCCAAAAAAAAAAGCCTGCTGAGTTTGTTTCGCCGGTTCTTCTCAGGACTGTGGCTTTTTTGGAACTGGTGGTAGAGTTAACATTTTCTTTTCATTTTGACATTCAACAAGTGTGTTTTTGATGACATCCAAGTTGAAATAAATGATTTTGAATTTGAATTTAATTAACAAAAAATATATTTATATACAACTCTACAAGAGTAGACTATTAAGCCTCTCGAAACAACTCAACTGGATCTTTGTACGACCCAAGTATTCGGAAGAATCCAATTCTTTTTTTTTATGATTGAAGGATTACTGGTGGCCCTGAGGCCTTTCCAGTTTCACCAGGACAGGTGGGCGAGCAAAGGCTCAGCCAGGAGGGGTGGGATAATCCAATTCTCTAATACTGATGCTATGGCCTACTACACTTAAATACAATGAAATTAATGCCTTTAATACACACATCTGTGTAGATGATAATTTTCCATTAAGTACCTTAAACTATAATTAAACCTTTTTCAGACAATGCCAAATTCCTCATATAGCACAAACTATTCATCATCTTACCCTGGGACAATGTATGATGACTTCCCACCAGGAGCATCCATGCCAGGTGCCCCTCATCCACCTGACATGGGAGCATGGAATCAAATGTCTCTTCCACCACCTCCAGGATCTGCCCCAGTCATAAAGGAACTGTCTATTGAGGAGCAGAGCAAAAAAGATGGTATGTTTAAAAAATCTAAATAAAACTAAATATAATTTTTATAGCAAAAATATAATGAGTAAAAGAAATATGTTTACCATTAAACAAAGACATTTTATGTTTAAGTAATATGTCAAGTGAAAAAACATAAAAAAACAGATTTTTTGTAAGGTTTTTAGGTGAATAAAAATTACATTTCAATTTAAATAACATACTTAATTGTGATGTTTTAAAAAAAGTGCATATAGAATATATAATTTTGTGCAAAAAATATATGACTTAATACTATTTGTATGATGTAGACGACCAACATTATGGAGCATTTAACTTTTACTGATATAGTATTTTAAAATATAATTGTTTCATACAGCTAATTAGTGCCCAAGTCGAACACTTTGATGAATAATTATATGAGTTGCCCAAATCTACTCACTATTTGATATATTATGAATAAATTGCACAATAATTACATTTCTTTGACAAGTGAAGTATGTTCAGAAGTCATTGGGAATGTTAATGGTAATATTTACTACATTAAAATACTAAATTGGCATTACACTGGAAAATTTGCAATCTTTTCATTCATTCCAAAATGCATTTCAGGTCTTCAAAGTTTTAAGTAATTTCAGGTTTACTATGTTCCTTTATGCCAAATTATATACTCTCTTTACCAAAAAGAAGGTATAGTATGCACTGTACCATTTTAAGATTGAGCAGATGCTTTGTCTTCATCTGACTCTTACAAGTTGCAACCAAACAAAATTCTTAGATAAATATAGCTGTTCTTTCTCACAACAGAGAATAACTAGAAAAATTTACCTTCATTCAGAAAAGTAAGTGATCTAGATTGAGTTTTATAATGTAATATTGTTATGTAATTAGCAAACATTTCTCTTCAGCCGCTATCGAAACAGAAATGCGGCATCAAAAAGCAGCTCTATCAAAACAAAGAGAAGAATACATAAAGAAGGCTGGTACACTTAAAAAAGAACTTGATACGCTAAAGGACCAACGTAATGAGCTTCGTGGAGATTCTAAACGCTCTCCGAGCCCGGATACTAAGAGGTTCTTGAAAGAGAACACTAAGTTACAGGTTTGCTTAAGTTTTTATAGTAAATGATAATAGTAGTAATGTAAATAGCTAAAAAATGTTTGCTTGTGATTGTTGTAATGGATATATAAGCTTCTATTCCCTGCCTCTTTGTGAAGTCCTTTGATGGTTGAGGTGTTCACATTGCTATGAATGTGAAGACATTTGTTCCTCTTAACAACAAGGAATACTAAGTGGAGTCATATAAATAACACTTTCCTGACATGTACTTGTGTGATCTAGTACAAGACAATCAATCGCATTACCAGAAACAATAAATACTAAGTGGTGTCAAATCATCACAAGACTTCACAAATGCTGGATTCAAATGAGACTAATTATTGTATGGAGTCAATTGTGTTTAGTTGGAGATCCAGAACAAGTTGAAAACAATAAACAATGTGGTGGACATGCTGAATGGCATCATTGGCGAAGAAGCAAATGTGAACACTATTGAGATGAAAGAGTCGCCTGAACGGACCTCCAAAAAAAAATCCAGGTGAGGCGCGTTTTGATATTACTTATTGTTTTTGGTATTGTTGAACTTCAATATTGTATTTGTATTGTGGTTTTTGCAAATCACAGAATGATTGAAATGAGGTGCGGTCCAGTCTTGCTATCTATTTACTTAAATATTGTATTTGAAGACCAAGAGGGTTTGTAACAACAAATTATAATTATTTTAATCCTCCTCACTATGATTCTATGACTATGATTGCTGACTTACTTCTATGTAAATATATACTCGATAGAATATTATTAGCGGTAAGACAATGTTTAAGTTTAACAATACCCATAACTTTATTACTTGAAATACATATAACAAAAGCCTGTAAGCAATGAAATGATTCTATAGTATTTTCTTCTCTGTGAGGAGTCTTTTTGAGGAGGCTTTTGAAAAGAGGCCTGATATGCTTTTACAAACGAGAATACTGAATAGCTACTTGTGGATTCTGCGTGAAGACATGAAGAAATTATATGAGAATGCAGGATAAAGCTGTTTTGACCACTGTTTGTGAGCTTAATGATATTATTGCTGTTTTAATATATTTAAGTGGTTTTTACTATAGTTCATTTAAACAATGTTCTGTAAGGGAAACATTCCCCATAGCAATAAACTGATACACAATAAACAGACAAACAAACAATACTGACAATAAACAGATTACAAACAGTGTTTGTTGCGATGAAAATTGTTTAAGATCAATTTGTGCCCGGGGTCAATGTCCCAGTGACATATACTCCTTGGCTTTAGTTTGCTGCCTTACTAAATATAATCTTTTTAAAATAATGAACATGTGCTAATTTTAATAATCAATATTGTTTAATTTCTTCTGTTTTTTTAACAGTATTGGTTTTGGAAATGTTTCCTTTATCATTGTATATTAAAATTTCTGTATATGGTCATAATTGTTTTGCGAATATTTAAATAGTACTGATGATTTAAGACAATAATATTGTAAATATCATAATGTATAAAATGCTCAAATTGAGAAATGTAATTAATATGAATAATTTGAATGAATCAATGTGTATGATTTCTCTTGCGTTATGTGTATTTTCTCAATAATATTTAGAGGGAATTTACTACACGTTTTCGGTAAATATATATTATTCATTACGTGTTGTGAAAATAAGGACGATTTTTGTATTTTTTTATTATATTTTCATTCTGTATTTTTCTAGCTAATAAAGAAAATGTTTAACTTTTATTGTCCGAGTGTACTGAGTGTCGACAGTCGCTTTACCAATATTTTGCGAAATATTCACTGCGTCTAGCTCAAAATGTTTTTTGCGTGTTTTATTTTCGCGTCGAAATAACCGGATTAATGATTTAAAAACAAAAAAAAAGAACACCCAATAAATATCTAAAGATTATTTGCAGCAAGAAGTTGCTTGACATACAGTGAGATCAAAGCGGGACCGGCCTTGCTCGGTTCATTCTGTACTCACGAGTGCTCAACTTGGCACTAAGCAATTATTGTACAAAAAAGTCTCTTCTCATTGATAATATCACAAGCTTTTCTGCCTGTTCCTTAAGGAAGAAAAAAGACATAAAATGGTCACATACATACAAATGTCTGGTGTTTAAATCGAAATAAAAACCATCATGAGTTGAGGTATATTATTATCTATATATGTATAATGGTTTACAAGTTGAGTACAGTAATGCAACGCAAGCGCGCATTGGCAGGTCTCCGTCGGGTGCGAAGTTCAACTACGTGTACTACGACCCCGAGATGCACTGGTGCCGCGTGTGCAACGACTTCCCGCCCACCGCCAAGGACTACCTCAACCATCTGCACTCTCCCGCGCACCACAAGTAAGAGCCCTGCCTCTGTTACTCACTCATACCCTCCGGCGGCTTAGTCTGTAGCGGATACAAGAGTGAGATCTTTGTTTAACACTAGTGATCCTCCGGTACGGGTGGTAGGACCTCTCGTGAGTCGACCACCCTTTTGAGTAATAAAAAAAAAATTGAAAACATTATTATGGTTCTATTGTCAAAGACTATTATACTTCATTAATCACAGATTTCGCCAAGACTACACTTGAGTCGACTATTATCAAAGGCGGCAATCTGACTTTTGGACAATGATTGGTAAATCAGAAAAACGAATTATTGACTTTGTATTCCATCGGCAGTCACAAAACTCTTCGGAACGACATCTTAGATAAATAACAGGTTAACTATTAACCTTTATTTAATGCAGGTTTTGAACCGTATTCTTTGAAGGAGACGATTATATTCAAATCAATCTGTATTGACATATCAATAAAAAAATTTTGTCCAAATGCACAGATTGCCACCTTTGATAATAGACGACTCACTTTAGACAAATATTAATAAAGACAAACATTATTTAATCTAATTTTTTTTAAGTGATTTTATGACCTGTTAACTAAGACCTTTAAGTCATGTCTTATTTTAATTTATATTCTTATTTTTATGAAAAATTATAATATGGAGTGAATTGAAATGAAAATGATTAATTTGAGACGTTAATCAACTGGGATGAAATTAAATCAAATGAGATGATATGGAATGAAATATAATCTTAGTAAAATGGTGGTCATTTACTAAGATTTTTTCAGTGGACTTTTTGGAGGATCCCGAGAAGTTGCGTCCAGCGGCTTTGTTTCATTTTCCCACATTTATGCACTTTCACAGATATTAAACAGTTAATAAACCACCGTTATTACACATTTAAACCTGAAGAAACACTAAATAGACAAAATAAAACAAATCACACAACTTCACTCCTCGCGTTCCCGCCAAAAAGTCTTATTTAATCTATTCTCAAATTGACCACAGACTATAAGCAATAAGAAAAGTTTGACAAACAAATAGTATGCATGCGTGTGTGTGTCAAATACATGGTAGTGTGTGTAATGTTTTTGAAGATATACTTTAGGCGCGTTATGAAAAATTGTTGAAAGTGAAATTTTACGATACACGCGCACCGTGACACAAAATTAACAGAATGAAGTTGCCCACTAAATCGCTCATTACAATACGACCGACGTAACTTGGTGACTCTGAATATAGCCGCAGGGGACCTTTCCGAACCGTATCGAGAATTACCGAATTTATACGATGTCAAGAAAAGGGATGTCCAATATGCGTGTTTGAGGATGTTGTTTAATCGAATTTTTTCAAATTGATTAAAATTTAAATAAAAAAATAAATAAATAAATTTAATAAAAATAAAGTATAACTTCTTACGCGCGTACATAAGTACACGTTTTTTATTATTGATTTCATGAATTTCAGCATAATGTATAAAAAAATATTAACATTCTGCACTCTTTCTCTATATTTTCTATAAGTGTAGGAAATTTCATACTCTTCCATCCGCGCAGTTTCCGTAAAAATGGTTACAAAGTTTTTGCTTGACGTATTAATATATAGATTAATCTGAGCTGTCTTCTGTCTAGGATGGCGTCGGCCCACATGGAGGCTCCGTGGCACGGCGTCTCCGCCCACGAGGGCTTTCCGCCCAACCCCGCCGCGCCCACCAAGCGGACACCTATCAAGGGTACCACCACACAACTATATCACACTTTGTACATTAAAAAAAGCCGTACCTACCTTCAGAACTCACCAGAAACACCGCCAGATCAGCCGAGACGAACACCCGGTCTCACTGATCCGGCTAAAGTAACGATTTGTTCCCCAGGCCTACAATTCTTCGTGCCCTCCACGGCCTGGTACTGCAAGCTGTGCGATCAGTTCATAGGAGACCTGCACTGCGCGTCTGCCCATCTCAAATCCATTGTGCACTCCAAGAACTATGCTGTGAGTTGGTTGAAAATTGTTGAAGTCGCCCCACTGTTACCCTAATACTTAAGCGTTAAAAAAACAGAAATGTTTATTACATTATTGTGAGTCCGCACCTTCACCCTGCCTATTCAGCCGTGAAGCAGTAATATGAATCGGCCTGAAGGGTGGAGCAGTCGTTGTAACTATACTTGAGACCTTAGAACTTGTGTCTCAAGGTGGGTGGCGCATTTGCATTGTAAATGTCTATGGGCTCCAGTAACCACTTAACACCAGGTGGGACTGTGAGCTCGTCCAGCCATCCAAGCCATAAAAAAAATAACACAAAAATTGTTTTCAAATTCGCATTATTTTACACCGTCACTCGGCACTAAAATGTTATTAATATTAAAAATCCCTTCTAGAACTTTGTCGAACAAAACCCTCACTGGGAAACGGACTGGATGTCAGACCGACAGAAAGCCTTCGAGACGACCCGCGGCAAGCTGAAGGCGGAGCTCACCGACAAGTGCGTGTACACGGCGCAGACCATCACCTTCAGCAAGGACGGCTTCCACTCCAAGAGGAACAAGGACAGCCCTCCGCTCGACGAGAAGAAGAGGAGGAAAGAGAAGCGGAAGAAGTCCAAGAGGAAACGGAACAGCAGCACCAGCTCCTCCAGCAACTCCACGGACTCGTCGGACAGCGATTCCCAGAAGAAAAAGAAAAAGAAAAGTTAGTTGACATTGTTGTTTGTAACTATTTTCGTTTATTTACAATTAAAAAGTCGTCACGTCGCTTGAGACTCGTCCGGATGTGAACACTTTGAGGAACCAAATGATCCATGAAGTGCATCAATATGAGGGTAGTGCCCCCAAGCCCCGCCCCCAGCCCGAGGCCGACACTCCAACTGTGCAACAAGAAAGTCGTGAACTGATGGACACTAGCCGCGGCAGTCTTACAAGTGCCTCCAGAAAATTTGAAGTCCTTGTGGTCTAAAGGATAAGACGTTCGGTGCATTTGTTTTGAGTGATGCACGTGTTTGATTCTCAGGCGGGTACCAATTTTTCCAATGAAATACGTACTTAACAAATGTTCACGATTGACTTCCACGGTGAAGGAATAACATCGTGTAATAAAAATGAAACCCGCAAAATGATAATTTACGTAATTACTGATGGTAGGACCTCTTGTGAGTCCGCACGGGTAGGTACCACCACCCTGGCTATTGCTGCCGTGAAGCAGTAATGCGTTTCAGTTTGAAGGGTGGGGCAGCCGTTATAACTATACTGAGACCTTAGAACTTATATCTCAAGGTGGATAACGCATTTACGTCGTAGATGTCTATGGGCTCCAGTAATCACTTAACATCAGGTGGGCCGTGAGCATATCCACCAACCTAAGCAACAAAAAAAAAGAATACTCTGTATAATAGTACCAGCGAATAAAAAGCTAAATAATATGTACACTCAATGGGATGGTCGATCCACGATGGCTGCATTAATAAAAAAAACATTAATTTTCATGTTACATAAATAGATTACGTTGCAGAGACAAAAGAAAGATCGAAAGTGAAGTCGAAGGGTGAGGAGGAGGACGGCGCGCCCAGCCCCCCGCACCCCCGCGCCGCGCCCCCCGCCCTCCCGCCGCACTACCGGTGAGCACTCTTGACTCTCCCGCCGGACCTTCTCAGTGGGTCGCGTTTCCGATCCGGTGGTAGATTCAGCGAAGCACTGCTCTTGCTAGGGCCAGTGTTAGTAACGTCGTCAGCATTGTAGCTTGCGTCTTACAAACGTAATTTTCTATTTCGTTGTAGGCTGCCTGCAGGTTGTTATTGCACAAGTTGTATTCGGGTTCACCATTTAATTTGATTTTTATTTTGTTTTTTTCTTATTTTTATACTAGTTTATACCATGTTCTAAGTCTGTACACACGTACAGTATGCGCGCGAGTTCATGTCCATCGGGGCCAGAGGCGACGCGCGGGGGGCAGCTCGCCCCGCCTTCGCCCACCGCCCCGCATTTTTCTGACGTCGAGTATTGTCCTTGACGGTTTGAATTAAAAAAATATTTTTCTATATTAGGAATAAACAAGTCAATACTTATCATATCACATTTATTTCATTTCATAAATTACAAAATTACCTTAAGTTACATTAAACCAAATTGACAGCTGTTGACTAAATCGGTAGTTATTATCGACACTACCATAATTGACTAGGTCACAGCACTACCGCATTCCTCAGGATGGACATGAACTCGCGCGCCTACTGTACTTAGCCTTTATTCCGCAATGAACCAGAGGAAAACCGGGGTCTGCGTTGTTCGATTTTGAACAGCATTAGCGGAGCTACCTCCGTTTGCCTTTTGCTTATTTTATTTTATTTATTGTAAAAGGCAATTTTGTAATTATTATTTACCAGGACAAAGAAGGAGCAGAGCGAGGAGCCTACGCGTTCCCCGGAGAGGCGCGGCGCCCCCCGCGAGCGCAACCCGGAACCGCCGCGCCGCGACACGTGTGTACCTTTTTTATTTATTGCTTAGATGGGTGGACGAGCTCACAGCTCACCTGGTGTTAAGTGGTTACTGGAGCCCATAGACATCTACAACGTAAATGCACCACCCTCCTTAAAATATAAGTTCTAAGGTCTCAAGTATAGTTACAACGGCTGCCTCACCCTTCAAACCGAAACGCATTACTGCTTCACGGCAGAAATAGGCGGGGCGGTGGTACCTATCCGTGCGGACTCACAAGAGGTCTTACCATCAGTGATTACGCAAATTATAATTTTGCGGGTTTGATGTTTATTACACGATGTTATTCCTTCACCGTGGAAGTCAATCGTGAACATTTGTTGAGTACGTACGCTTCTAGTTTCTGTATACTATGAGTGTTGTCCGCGGGCCCCCGCACTGTATGCGCGTTGTGTGACAGCGCGCGGCCGGAGCGGCGCCGCTCGCGGTCCCGGACTTCGCCCTCCAGGAGCTACAAGAAGCCCGACATCAAGAAAATGCCCTTTATTGGTGAGCTTATTTGAAATCTGTTGTTTAAATTTTTTTGTAGTTTGGTTGTTTTTCGAAATGTTCACTCTCCACCTCTCAAACGGACATACCTTGGCACACCGCACGCTATGTGCTTAAGAAAAATACAGAGCCTTCTCTACATTTATTAATGCATAGATAATTTTACTTCAGTACACACTTTGACACTCAAGTGTTCCACAAGACACAGGGTGGTCGTGGCCTGATGGGTAGCACGCCCGGACACAGTAGCAACTGGCACATATCCACCCACCCAATAGCAAATTACTGTCGTGATAGAATCCCGATTGCATTTCGTTCTTTGCAATGTCTTGTACTAATCTAAAATTAACTATAATTATTATTGTGAGATTATTAAGATATATCTGACCATTCACCCCTGGGCAGAGCACTTAAATTTATTTATTAGACTACCGACATTTTAGCGGTAGACAGCGGCCTGGCTCTGCTCCTGGCATTGCTGAAGTCCATGGGCGACGGTAACCACCATCAGGTGGGCCGTATTGCCTTTGTAGGCCGTCTGCCTACAAAGGCAATAAAAAAAAAAAAACATGTGTACGCAAATGCAAAAGTATGTCAATTTTTAAATAACCTATGCAAAAATTTTGATTAAAAATTTAAATGTGACAGGAAAAATGCCTCTGTATAAAAACATGAGTAGAAATGTGAAGACCGACGAACAAAAGAAAGAAGATCTAAAGAAGAAGGAAGAAGAGAGCGAAATTAACAAAAAGAAAAGAGTGGAGATGGATGCTGAAATACAAAAAAAGGTAAATATTGCTTATAATACATATTAAAGTTATTTTAATTATATTATATATTTTAAATATATAATTTTAATAGTATATTCAAAAGTTTTCATTCCGAACTGTACAATCAAAACCTGCCGATAGGATCTATTGTCTTAATGTTTCTTATCAGCTAAGGGAATAGAATATTTCATCTCGAGGAATCTTCGGTATTCGAAGTTATCTGTAGGTCATGAAAAATAGTGGAAAACATTACGATAATCACCAGAATTACTGGAATAACCTGAACACAGTGAAAGAGTTGAATAAACAATTCGGTCAACTATACGGATTTTCATCTGAAGAGTTTTAACACGTTGAACGTCAATTGAAAATTGAGTATTTTCATTCGAGCCACTGTGCTCACCGGTGAGCCTTATTGAACCGTTCGGGCCATTAGGGTCACCCGTGAGCCGCGTGAGCGTTCCAACGCGAACGCTTCCTACAAGCCACAGATAGCAGCTAGCAACAGTTAGCAACAGCGTATGGGAGTGAGCCACAGGCCCTTTATCCGAAGTGAACGCCGTGGTTTTTAAATCCCATAGAAACTTGTAGTTTATATCAAGATCAAGCCTATTAAAATATCATAAAAACTACACGATAATATTTTAAAAGTCGCTAATTTTGATCTTCCGTGTAAATTATCGCATTTTATAAATTCCCGAACGAAAAAAACGGTGCGCGTGCAATTTGGTGCACGTGAATGAAGTGAAACTTCTTTTTCGATGTGTAGTATTGTGGTTTAGTTCATTTTCCATCCTTAAATCAGATTGCACTTGTAATAAGGAATGCAATGTGATACATCTCCAACATTTATATTATATTTTATTTTAAATTATAGATAGAACAATAAATATATATATATTTTTTAAATAGTTCATTAAAATATTGGCAACTACTGGTTGTTAACGCTCGCGCTGGCCTGTACCAGGTATACTACACGCACTCACTCTCGCTCTGTCTCTTTCTATTCCCCCTCCCCCGGAGCGTTAAACGTTTAACGCAACCTTGTTGGAAGTCGCAATAGAAGTTTCACTTCAAAATCTCAAGTTGATAAAAATTACTGATTCCCTTATTTTGGCTCGGCCCGAACGGTATAGTACGCAATGCCCGTCGTTGGTTCGAAAAGCGTTCAATCTATACTAATATTATAAAGCTGCAGAGTTTGTCTGTTTGTTTGAACACGCTAATCTCAGGAACTACTGGTCCGATTTGAAAAATTATTTCAGTGTTAGATAACTCATTTATTGAGGAAGGCATAAAGGCTATATAACATCACGCTAACCCAAATACGAGCGGAGCACCAATAAAGAAAGTTTCAAAATCGTTTTTTTTTTTTCCTTTTGAGAGCTTCCGCTGCGTGCGCTGCAGAAACGGTTAAAGTTTCGCTAAAATAATGTATGACAGAATTGTTCCCCTTTAAAAGATCTAAAAAAAGACCGCGGCAGCATTCGTTTATTATGTTAAACTTGGCTCACTATAACGTTTTGTATGCTAACCAAATTTGCTCTAAAATAAAGAATTATTTGTGAACTATTCCACGCGGACGATGTCGCGAGCTAAAGCTAGTGTGTGTTATAAACGTCTCGTTCGAAACTAAGTTCCTGTTATTATTTTCAAACCCAGGTGGCAGAGTTCAAAGAGAAGATAGCCAAGGCTCAGCTGGAGAGGGAGCAGCAGAGCCACCAGCGCCCAGAGCCCTTCATGCTGCCGCTGCCCGCGCCCACGGTCATGCCGCAGATGCAACCGTGAGTGGCCATGGAACTGTTATAGCGGGTCTCGCTACTTAGATTTAAAAAAAATGAAATACAAAGTTATGGAGGTTCGATGACAGTCATGCGCACTGTTTTTTTTTTTATATGTTTATTGATGCACAAAACAAATTACAGTCGATCTAATCTGGATTGCCATCTAAATAGTATGTGCACTCAGCAAATCCATTTGAATGTACATAGCTTTGGCTATTTAAAACAACTGAAATTACAATATTTTTTTTACTTAGATGGGTGGACGAGCTCACAGCCCACCTGATGTTAAGTGGTTACTGGAGCCAATAGACATCTACAACGTAAATGCTTATTATAGTTAGTATTCTTAGTATAGTTACAACGGCTGCCCCACCCTTCAAACCGAAACACATTACTGCTTCACGGCAGAAATAGGCAGGGCGGTGGTACCTACCCTTCCGGACTCACAAGAGGTCTTACCACCAGTAAATACGCAAATTATAATTTTGCGGGTTTCATTTTTATTACATGATGTTATTCCTTCACCGTGGAAGTCAATCGTGAACATTTGTTGAGTACGTATTTCATTAGAAAAATTGGTACCCGCCTGCGGGATTCGAACACCGGTGCATCGCTACACACGAATGCACCGGACGTCTTATCCTTTAGGCCACGACGACTTCAAAATATTGATAACTAGCCATTGTTAAATAGAATAGATTTAGAGTGAGGAGTCGACCACTCAGGTCGGATGATAGGAGGAGACTGGCTGTTCGCGGGGTGGACGCAACAGGAGTTCGGGAATGCTGATCGTGCAGCTTGGTTTAGGGCTGTCAGCCAAATACCCTTCATACTAGGGCCATAACAGAACGCTCCTATTCGTCATCGGAGGCGAGCCTGCCTTCTCTGGCTCAAGACGTTACCCTCGCATGCTTTAATCTCTGTTAGAAGTAGAACTTATTTGATGTCAAGCAGTTCGTTCGAGAGACTAAGATAATAGATTTTTTTACTAGTAGTAGAACCTCTTGTGAGTCCGCGCGGGTAGGTACCACCATCCCGCCTATTTCTGCCGTGAAGCCGTAATGCATTTCGGTTTGTAGGGCGGAGCAGTCGTTGTACTGTAACAACTGAGACATAAAGCTTATGTCTCAAGATGTGTGGTGGTGGTCCGTGAGCTCGTCCATCCATTGTATCCATAATAATAAAAAACCCAAGTAGAAACCCCAAAAATTCCTAATTATCTGTGAGACTTCATTGTCGAAACACGAAGTGGATGGTGTCATTCAGAGACAAACCATCCCACGTCGTTGCTCCAAAAAGATAATTTAACTATTACTTTTGGTACTTAGGTCAGTATTTAGAAGGATTACCATTTCCAGGGGACAAATCCCCGGCGCCCCGGGCAGCCTGCCGCGCGACCTGCAGGAGGCGCTGGACATCATATTCCCGTCGGGCGAGGTGATGGCGCCGCCGCCCTTCGTGCCCGCCTTCCCGCCGCTGCTCGTCAACCAGATGTTCCCGCACTTCGACATCAACGCCATCTACCCCGCCAACCTGTACGAGCAGCCCCGGCCTCCGCAGCGCGTCGAGGCGCAGCCCGAGGCCAAGTTGCTGCCTAAACCTGACGGAACCAAGAAGAAGGAAGAGTTGGACGAGCTGGCGCTGCTGGGCATGGACGCGTCGGACGTCGGCGCCGGCATGTAGCCCTCGTGCAGCGCGCTGCTACAGATCTTCCACGTTAATAAAACAGTTAAATGGTGTCCTTGGTCATTTTCCTTCAGATGTGTTTAAATTTGTCAACGTAACGGCTTTATTCTAAGAAGTGCTTAAACTGTGTAACGAATGAGGAACGTGATCATTTTAGTTAATGAAATAAAAATCAAATCGATGGTTTATTTAATTTTTGTATGCAGTTTCATCTCTAGCGTCCTTGCGGTCGCCATGTTTGCAGATGATTCAGAATTTTATTTGACTTGAATCGATCGCTACCAGTTTGAAGATTTAATCGAAATCAGTTTCTCATAGTTTCGGAGCTTGTAGGCAGAAAAAGTGTGACCATGGAGGAGCAACCTGCAAAAAAAAACATGCTCGCTTTAAACAATACAATTGAGACGTCCGCCTCGTGTCTCAAGGTGGAGATGCGGCACTTATGACGTCACGGCTCCGGTAACCACTCAATATCTGTATGCTTAATCTGAGTTTTTTTACGTTCTCGATATCGTAAAAGTTAACTTAATTTGTATGCAAACAGCGCCCCTAGCGGGAAACGTAGGCGAACTTTTACGCTATCGAGAACGTTAAAAAACTCATTAAGCATAGCTATACTGGTGGTAGGACCTCTTGTGAGTCCGCGCGGGTGGGTACCACCGCCTTGCCTATTTCTGCCGTGAAGCAGTAATGCGTTTCGGTTTGAAGGGTGGGGCAGCCGTTTAACTATACTGAGACCTAACAACTTATATCTCAAGGTGGATGGCGCAGTTACGTTGTAGATGTTTATGGGCTTCAGTAACCACTTAACACCAGGTGAGCTCGTCTACCCATCTAAGCAATAAGAAAAAGCACACTGGTAGGCAAAAGAGTTCATTCATATACGCAAAAAATAATAAGGTGCCGTTGTACTACTGTTATTGATGATATCCATGAATGACCATGACCATTCACCATCTACATGGTATTTTCTACATGGATACCAAGTTTCAAGTAAATCGGATGCATGGTTCAGTAGTTATAACGGAACATCCGTAAAAACCACTGTAGATTTATATATCTATACTAAATATATAATTAAAATCGAAAAACTAGATTCTTAGGTTATGACCTTTTTCAAATCAGAAGTGATTGATTAATTCTACGAAGACAGCTAGAGCTCTATGTCTGCTCTACATTAATATTATCACATCAACATAAATCAGTGAAAACCAGTTTGATCTGGTTGCTACGATAGATGAACTGACGAAGCGAATTCATGTAGGTATGTCTAATTTATTACTAGGCTGCACTAAAAGTATCGGGAATGGAATATTTCCACAGTTCCTGTCATATTAAAATCTTTTTAATTGAAAACTCCTTGGTTTTAAAAATCGAATACCATTTATTTATTTAAAAAAAGATTCTCGGTCTTGTCACGAGCTTTTGTCAAACTTGTTTAGTCGTTGAGAAAATGGAATTGACTCGAGAAAATTCAAGAGCGATGATTTATTATGACTTTCGAAGTGGCTTAACACAAAAACAGTGTGTTGACCGGATGATTTCTGCATTTGGTGATGAAGCCCCATCCAAAACCACAATTTATCGCTGGTTTGCTGAGTTTCAACGTGGACGTGTCAAGCTCNATTATGACTTTCGAAGTGGCTTAACACAAAAACAGTGTGTTGACCGGATGATTTCTGCATTTGGTGATGAAGCCCCATCCAAAACCACAATTTATCGCTGGTTTGCTGAGTTTCAACGTGGACGTGTCAAGCTCAGTGATGATCCCCGTCAAGGTCGTCCAAAAACTGCAGTCACCCAAGAAAACGTTGATGCTGTGCGTAAGCTGAATGAGGAAGATCGACATGTGACATACCGCGAAATTTAGGCAACTTTAGACGTTGGCATGAGTCAAATACAAATAATCCTGCATGAACAATTAGGTGTAAAAAAGTAGTTTTCTCGATGGATACCGCATTCGCTCTGTGAAGAGCAAAAAGCGGCTCGCGTTACTTGGTGCGTCAGAACTCTCGAAAGATTCCACGCAGGATCCTCAAATGCTGTATACAAGATTGTATCAGGTGACGAATTCTGGATATACGCGTACGAATCCGAAACAAAAAACCAGTCACGAGTTTGGGTGTTCGAAAATGAGTTAAAGCCAACAAAAATTGTTCGTTCACGGAGTGTTGCAAAAAAAATGGTGGCTACGTTTATCTCCAAAACCGGCCATGTTACGACTATTCCTCTTGAGGGACAAAGAACGGTTAATGCAGAATGGTATGCTAGCATTTGTTTGCCACAGGTCGTTTCTGAACTCCGTAAAGAGAACTGCAACCGCCGCATCATCCTCCATTACGACAAAACAAGTTCTCACACCGCGCACAGAACAAAAGAGTTTTTAGAGCAAGAAAACATAGAATTATTAGACCATCCGCCGTACAGTCCCGACCTAAGTCCTAATGATTTCTATACCTTCCCTAAAATAAAGAATAAATTGCGTGGACAGAGATTTTCATCACCTGAAGAAGCTGTGGACGCCTACAAAACGGCCATTTTGGAGACCCCAACTTCCGAATGGAATGGTTGCTTCAATGATTGGTTTCATCGTATGGAAAAATGTGTCAAATTTCGCGGAAAATACTTCGAAAAGCAATAAATACATTTTTAAATAGTAATGTTGTGTCACTTCGTTAATTCCCGAAATTTTCAGTGCCGCCTCGTACATACGCAGCCACAATACATTGTACCAATACTATGGTGCTTTAATTAAATCGATCTTTTAATTCAATTAATTGATTGCCTCGGTATTCTATTGGCTGTGACTACTGGCAGTATCTGTAATAAAGTACCTATAGGTGTGTTTTCGGGGTCTGAATGAATGTTTTCTTATCATATACATCAATCTATACTTTTTCCTACCTATGCTGATAGCCTTGAGAGGGTATTTCAGCTTATCCTTGACGTAGGTGAGCTCACGGGGCTCAAACCGGACTATTGCTAACACTGGCCTTAGCAAGAGCAGTGCTTCGCAGAATATACCACTGGATCAGAAACGCGATCCACTGAAAAGATCCAGCGAGAAACTCAGTGGGCAACCTATTACTGCTTCAGGGTATAAACGAGCGGAGTGGTGGTACCCACTCGTGCGGGCTCACAAGACGCCCTACCGCCGGTAATTACGCATATTTTCTTTTTGGCAGATTTGATTTTTATTATACAATCTTATTTCGTCACCGTGGACGCAGAGCCGCCGTCGCCCGAAGCATGTCTTGTCGGATCCCCGGTGCTTTTAGACCTCTTAAGCATCGAGCTTCAAGCGTTCACCGTCCTCGTCGAACTCGTCGATTACAACGAAAAATACGACGAGCGAACTGACCCATAGACAGCCCACTGAATTTCTCGTCGGATCTACTCAGTGGATCGCGGTTCCGATTGAAAAACTCTGAACACGTGGTTGCAGTCTGCTCCGCACGGGATGGTCAGTACCAAGTCCTTGACTAGCAAAAGTCAATTGGCGATTTTCCCTTTACGGAACGGGATATTTAAAAAAAATATATCCACCTGATTTATCGACAACAGGTTTTAAAACGAGCTTAACAGTAAACGCTTGATTCATTGGCCCTATAGTCTCCTATTGCGGTCACAACATCAGTGCAGTGTAGCTTCCTCTAGACTAGAGAAACGAAAGACTGTCTTTGAATCGGAATACGCGATTGCCTGATGGATTAACATGTCTCTTTTATTAAATTGTAACATGTATACTACTTAGTTAACAAAACGTTTATTTCGGAAACAAAGATACGTGCCTTGATTACATAACTTAGCTATATGTATATGTGAACACAATTTTATCGGTTGCATTACACTCTCGCAAGAGATTAGGTGTTTTAGTAATAATAATTGTTACATAAAAATTAGGTTTTTATTTTGATAGAGTATTTTTAAATATTTTATAAAGGTATGCAATAAAAAAATGCAATAGACGAGTGTTCGGCCAACCTCGTATCATGTGGCTACCGGAGTCCATATTATTTTTCGAAATGAGGGCTAAACACATAGCTGTGGGTCTAAATCTCAATTAGATAGTATAATGCACAGGTGTAATGGCTTTTCCGTCCTTCAAACCAAAACACATTACTTTTTCGCGGTGGAAATAGTTTGCGTAATTTTTTTAATATCAGCGATTGTTTTTTAATTTTAGTTTATATACTTATCGCTCATCTTAGATATTAAACAAAAATATATAAAAACTAACAAACAAACTGAAAAGAAAACTATAGTAATTTTAATTCGGCATTAATCGAGACATTATACAAAAAAGGAAAAATCATTAGATAACAATCATTTAAACTTTACACAAAAAAGTATTTTTTATTTGTAGATGGAATAAATTAGTTGTTATTTAAACAGCGTCAATTTTTTATGTATTTTATGCAAGAAAAATAACGTTTTACGAAAATAATAACTACAATATGTGTATTTGATAGACACAATGTCCAATTTCACAATGTGCCATCAACTTAACTAGAAAGAGTGGAATACTGTGTTACAATTAGTGTTATTTTAGTAGTATTTTTACAGCATATAGTCTACAGTGAATGCTTTGGAAAGTGATGGCTTTATTTTGAAAATCAACAAATATTTGATTGCACAAAAAAGTGGACTAGTTTATTAAATCGTCCAAGGAATCGTGTCGTATGATGAATTTCATCCGCGTATTAGTGGCGTGTTGCGTGTGCTATATTGTTGTAATAATGTTAGATAACGCGTGTTGGGTTATGAGTGCTTCAGACGAGTGCACGAGGAGAATGACTTAGTTATTTTATGTTGACAGTCGCTACAAAGCTCGCAGTCGCTTAGTCTCGCCGCAGAAGCGCAACGGGCGCGTGTCAACGCATTTGTGAGTTTGTTTTTTTAAAAAAAACCCACTACAAACAAAATAAAATAGTAGCTTAGTAAATGATTCTGAACAGCTGATCGATTCCGCCGCTTTAAATAAAATAAAAGTTGGTAACAAACGCTAAAACTAAAGGTCGTATAGCCTTCATCTGACTAGTGATATGTTTTGATAATTTTCTTTCGAGACAATGTGTGTTATCTATTGCTCCAATATAGTGCACTAAATATTACATTTTAAGAAATAATAAAAATAAATATTAGTGATCTTTTTTCCAATTGCTTGTCTTGGCCTAAGTAATGGTATTTCATTATCCTGTGCTCTTATGGCAATTTGAGTGACAACTAGTTTTATGCAAAGTTTGAATGCAACTAATTTATCGAAGTCATGTTTGACTGTTAAGCTATTTTAAAGTACTTTGATTATTTCTTTGATTATAATTTATACTTTGATTATAATTGGATGAGGAGAGCCAAATACCGGGCTCAGTGGTGTGGATTGGGAGTGGCCTATGTCCAGCAGTGGACGACTCTGGGCTGATGATGGTGATGATTATTTCCTAAGATTCAGCTTTACATATCTGCATAAAAATACGCTCGAAAAACATTACCCTTCTTCGATAGTCCGGTAAATGATCGAATGCTACGCACGGGAATGACTGACCATGGATGAATTCGATTTAAAATAATGCGTTTATTGAAAAATACAATTTTAATCGTGATATAAACAGTTATGTTACAAACTTAAAGTTTTTTTTAATGAGATACGGGATGCTCTATTCCTTTTCTACAAACCGTGTGTTGAAATGTGTATAGCAAACGTGAACATTGACGTCATTGTTTAATACGGCGCGCCATACTTGTTAGATTACAACTTAGGTTTTGTTGGTCGGAGCCGTATCTAAGCGTTGGTTTTTATTAGATAATATCAATAGCAGTGACGTGCTTTTTCTCATATTTTCATTTATTGTAAAAACATGTATATTTAGTTGCACATATAATGTATTTACAATGAACGTGTTTAAAGATTCGATTTGACTCGTTGTTGCGTCATTGAAACTAGAAACGCCGTTTGCGTCGCCGGAAACATAAGTGAAACTTTTAAGAAATTTTCGTTTTTTTATTGACTAAGTTTGATTGGCAGAGCTCACGGCCCTATCTAGCTATTTGATCAGAAAAATGCTTGGAAGATTCGAACACCGGTATCGCTAAATACGAATGCTTACGCACGTCTTATACTATAAGCCACGAAGACTTCATAAGTTATTGAAATGAAAAAGAAAAAATGTAAAATTTATTTTGTCGAACATCTCCAAGTCTTCACTTTACATAATTTGGACTCTTTGATTGAATCCCTTCATAAAATTCTAGCATTCAAGTCTCTTGGCTTCTTTTGATTTATTTAAATGAGATATACACAGAGCCCTACCACGATGCACTGTGTTTTGGTTATTACTGGCACTGTCACTGTCCATTTGTGACGGCAACCGCGTGCTATTAGTTCCTTTTCATATGCACATATACATCGACCGCAAGAGGATCAGGTCCCTCAAAGATGTCATACAGCAGTGATACATTTTTAAAATAACAAGATTCCATTACTTTCGTCTCTCGAATTTTTCGAATTGAAAAATTTCAATGTAGTCTAATTAAGCGTCTATTAAATGATAAGATTATTTTTAAAACTGCTTAGCTAATTTCTAACTTACAGCTTTAAGTTCGATGCCCTAATAAAAATGCATAAAACACGGGGACATAAATATTTTTATCTGTATAAAAATAAATACATAGTAACTATACCTAAAAGTTTTACAATGTGTACATCTGATTTGAAAACGATACGACTGTTTTTCACGACACTGTCGTCGTATCGTTACCGAGCGCACGTGGGAGGAGATTCGCCAAAAGAATTGTTAGCCAGTCATGTCTCAATGATGCTGTTGCCTTTGCAGTAAATTATGGCAGCGGACCAGGTATTCCACTCGCGTTCCTTGGGTATTCCCTCCGAGGGTGTAAAAGATCAGTACGCTGACGGCAAAGCGGCAAAAACATGGAACAAGTTCATCGGAGATAGTAATCAAAGAACGCAGAACTACAAAGACTTCTTGATCGGTCTCTTGAAGAACAACGGCTGCAAGACTGTTCTGGACGCCGCTTGTGGTACTGGGTGAGTACATCTTTGTTTTTTAGGAAGCTGAGTTTACTGGTGATCCGAAGGCCCTTCCGGTTTCACCAGCACAGGTGGGCGAGCAAAGCGTCAGCTAGGAAGGGTGGGATTTGCTAACAGCTGTCTGAGCGCCACCAAAGGATACCTAAGAAATCAAGAGCAGCTGCTTCGCGAATGAATCTACTAGCGGATCGGAATCGCGACCCACTGAAAAGATCTGGCGAGAAACTCAGCGGGCTGACGCATGGCTTAGGTTGCACGTCATACTCTTAGCCGAGTTCGATGAGGACGGTTACCGGGGTCCCTAAGCCTGGTGTGTTAAGTACATCTCATAAGTAGACAAATTACACTGTATTTTTAACTAAACCCTTTACTGTCTCCACAAAATATTTACGTTACTAGGGTCACTTGTAAACGATTATGCCATGGTTATGTACGGGCAGATATTCTTTCTAATACTTGTTCACGAATGTCGTCGCGTGGTCAAATTGAACCGGTAGAATTTATATAATTCGTAGGCGGCACGGCACGGTCTACTGCGCAAAAAACTAAGGTGTTCGTATGATAGACGTTATTTAATTTCAAAAGTTATGATAACTACGAGCTCGAAACTTTGCGGCAGCATTAATATGGTGGTCTCTATAGACTACGATAATAGTTACTACCCAACAACAAATTAACGCCGATAAAATAAACTTCTCAATAAATAAACAATATTCGACCAAGTGATCGAACAATTTATGAATTTGAAGTTATGTGTTTCGTAATTAACAGTTTACTTGTTGGTCACTGATTTATATCTCTCGTGTGTTCGTTGACCTTGACCGCGAATAATCTGCCACGTCTTTGAATGCTATCAACATCTTATTTGGATGTCACACTTGGAAAAATTACGTAAACCTTATTTGGACAGAAATTTGTATTTGTCAAAAATGAAGTGTCGATTTTACCTTAAATCAAACTGCTGACAGCTTACTGTGGATACTATTCACTAAGCTCCTGCTATTAACTATGACAATATCTAAACAGCTAAAAAGCAGAAAATCCCGAGTATCTAGTTAAGTAATATTTTTTTGCTTAGTCTGTTAAACGAGCTCACGGCCCACCTGGTATTAAGTGGTCACCCATAGAAATGAACAACCTAAATGGTGCTACCCACCATGAGACATGAAGTCTAAGTGCCCGTTTAACAATAAAAAGGCTGACCTATTTCAAACCATAATGCTTCACGAATTCATATAAAATTTCAACCTCATATATTAAAATGAGTGGTAAAATTCACTCTGTGATGTGCGTGTGCTCCGATAGCCGCTTAATATCAGGTGGACAGTGAGCCCGTTCACACAGATATGCATTTAAAATGACACAATCAGACGCACGGACCTAAAAAAATAATTAAATTTTTGCCAATTGTTCTCCGATCGCTGGTCTACACACATCACAACACAGCTGTTACCACGTTACCTAACTGTTCCAATATTATTATAAATTATTTGGATAATCGTGATAAGGCACTCCGGCGCTCAGCTGAAGTCATGTCAACTTTTATCTGTCAACAACAACGTTGTCAGCAGCGGGTCACGAGATAGTGCGTGACCCTTCTGACGAAATCGATGTTATCATTGTTCATCGTTTACATAATTAACTTAAGGGAATAATTTTATTTATTTATTTATTGCATAGATGGGTGGAGCTCACAGCCCACTTTGTGTTAAGCGGTTACCGGAGCCCACAGACATCTACAACGTAAATGCCGCCTCCCACCTTAATTAAGATATCAGTTCTAAGTTCTCAGTATAGTTACAACGGCTGCCCCATCGTTCAATCCGAAACATGTTACTGCTTCACGGCAGAAACAGGCGGGGTGGTGGTACCTACCCGTGCGGACTCACAAGAGGACCTACCAACTCATGCGCTTCGAGAGATTGACGAATGAATCAATTTTGATATGATTTTTTTTATTTAGTACTAGCTGACCCGGCACACTTCATAGCACCTCAATCGATAAATAAAAGACCTAAGCTTTTCTATAAAATAAACTTAAGACAAACAAAAGGAATCCGTCCGGGACACATCAAAGGAAAAACAAAATTGTTATTTTTATTTCATTCGGAGCATTTTCCTATTTATCTACCTTTTAAACCTTCTCTGGACTTCCTCAAATAATTTGAGACCAAAATTAGCCAAATCGGTCCAATCGTTCTCGAGTTTTAGCGAGACTAACGAACAGCAATTCATTTTTATATATATACTTATAGATGATAGATGAAAACAGTGAGATTTAAGTTCCTAGTAAATGATTCAAGTTAGTTTAATTACGAACCAAACGCTCTGACGAGTTATTTCAAAAGATCCAGTTATTTCAGAAGTCCGCGCGGGTAGGTACTACCACCCTGCCTATTTCTGTCGAGAAGCAGTAATGCGTTTTGGTTTGAAGAGCGGGGCAGCCGTTGTACTGTTAAAACTGAGACCTTACAACTCATGTCTCAAGGTGGGTGACAGCATTTACGTTGTAGATGTCTATGGGCTCCGGTAACCACTTAACATCAGGTGGGCCGTGAGCTCGTCCACCCATCTAAACAATAAAAAAAGTAGTTATCGTCCTCCATCGGCAGAATAGATATGCTTATTACTTGTGATAGTGCATTTATCTAATGCGTTTTCTAAAATTATTTTTTGCTTGCATCGTGTCTCTGGTCTGAACTCCTCTTCCCCGTTCATTGACGCCATGCCTGTCTCCCCCTCAAGCCATGGACTTTATATAAATGCAGGGTGGTGTATTCATGTATGGAATCTGTAGGCTGTATAGTCTTATCATCTACAATTCCTGAAAGTCCTATCGCTAGATCACGAGTGTGGTAGGTGGCTTATTTCCTGCCAGTATCATATCCCTTAACTTAAGACGTGCCGTACAAAAATTATGTTAGTTCATTTTATTGATTTCAGGATAGACTCCATGATGCTGGTGAATGAAGGGTTTAAAGTGGTGTCAGTCGATGCTTCGGACAAGATGTTGAAGCACGCTCTCAAAGCTCGCTGGGACAAGAGAAAGAATCCCAAATATGATGATTGGGGTGAGTTTCTTTAAAAATTTAAAGGCAAAACAAATTTCCACGTAAAAAGCGTCGGCGACCATATAAGTAAAATCTGTCTACCCGAGTTGCGAGTCCTGAAACAAAAATCTCCTCTTGACAAAAATCTCCAAGTAAGTGCATATCTCACACGTCTTAAAAAACCACTCCGATGATTGAAGTACAAATTGGTTTTTTTTTCATTGCACAGATAGGTGGACGAGCTCACAGCCCACTTGGTGTTAAGTGGTTACTGGAGCCCATAGACATCTACAACGTAAATGCGCCACCCACCTTGAGACATAAGTTCTAAAGTCTCAGTATAGTTACAACGGCTGCCCCACCCTTCAAACCGAAACGCATTACTGCTTCACAGCAGAAACAGGCATGGAGGTGTGGACTCACGAGAGCTCCTACCAGCAGTAATTACGCAAATTAGAATTTTATGGATTTGATTTTTATTACACGATGTTATTCCTTCACCGTGGAAGTCAATCGTGAACATTTGTTAAGTACGTATTTCATTGGAAAAATTGGTACCCGCCGGCGGGATTCGAACACCGTCGCATCGCAAGATACAAATGCACCGGACGTCTTATCCATTAGGCCACGACGACTTCGAAACTGTGGAAATAAATGGCTCTTAGATTAGCCTTGCGGCACGCACGGGTGGTTACCTACATCCTGGATTTTTTGCTGCAAAATACTCATCTGTTCCTATTGAAGGAGTAGACCAGTCACTGTTACAGTGCTATTGAAACTTCCACCTCATAACTCAAGTTGGATTCAACCTCATGTCTCAAGCCAGCATTTGGGCTGTGAAGTCTGTGGGCTCCAGTCACTACTTAAAATATATTTTCTATTAACTAACTAACTAATAACATCTACGCTCCAGTTTTGAGACACGCATCATACGTACTTAGTCGTATTTTTCATTCCAGTCATAGAAGAAGCCAACTGGGAGACACTACCGCAAGACATCGAGACGTTTCTACCAGATACCCAGTTCGACGCCGTCATATGTCTCGGGAACTCGTTCGCCCATTTGTTGGATGAGTACGGAGACCAAAGGATGCAGAAGCTGTGTCTGAGCAACTTCGCGAAATGCCTGAAGCCAGGCGGCCTCCTGTTTATCGACCACAGGAACTATGATGCGATGATCAACACTGGAGCCACTCCGGGGCATTCAATTTATTATAATGTAAGTCCAGGGTACAAAGACCTAACTGACTATGGAAAAGTCAAAGAAGGAGTTGTGATATCACGGTAACGATAATTTGCGTTTTTACTGGTGGTAGGGCCTCTTGTGAGTCCGCACGGGTAGGTACCACCATCCTGCCTATTTCTGCCGTAAAGCAGTAATGCGTTTCTATACTTGTAACTATACTTGAGACCTTAGAACTTATATCTCAAGGTGGGTGGCGCATTAATGTTGTGGATGTCTATGGGCTCCAGTAACCACTTAACACCAGGTGGGCTGTGAGCTCGTCCACCCATATAAGCAATGAAAAAAATCTTCATTTTACTATTGCATTCCCTGGCACCAAAGCAAATATACTTCCTGAAACCACTGCTCTGACCTGCAGTGTGTTTCGCAAAATTTGCATCGTAAAAGCGGCACATCCCAAGCGGTAGTATTTCTTCAAAAGATAACTTTGAGAAAAGCTCTCCATTGTACAGTGGCTTGGCTGTGCCATTGCTACTGTTAATGTCCACGAGCAACGCTAACCACACTTTTTATTGCAGCAGTGAAAATCTTACAAGTCAGCTTCATATCCTCTAGTTATGTTACGTGCTTGTGCTATTAACATTATCTCCACCTCTAACATAGGTAGCGTTACTAACGTAAATTTTAATACCTTCCAGTGCAAATACCCGGTTGATATCAAGACCTCGGTTCTGGTCGTACGAGGTAGAGCTGAACTCGTCGCATTAGACTACTGCATAGATACTTCAAACGATGGGAGCAAACAGGAAAAGAGGTGAGAAGCTATACTGTTCATATAATTGAATTTAGGCTAGTCTAATTGAGAATCTTTTTTATTTATTTTTCTCCTACCAATGCTGATAGCTTCGAGAGGCTATTTGAGCTTCAGCCTAACGTGTAGATTAGCTCACGGGGCTCAAACCGGAAGTGTTGCTAACACGAACCCTAGCCAGAGCAGTGCTTCGCAGAATCTACCACCGGATCGGAAAGCCGACTCACTGAGAAGCTCCGGCGAGAAACTCTGTGAGCTGGGAGACTTTTGAGTATCACATGTTCAAGTGGTCTGTTATGGGTTAACATGACCCAAACAACATTAAAGTGAGAATATTACAAAATTGAAACATTCGATGAAAGAACAGTTTGTGTGTTATGTTGGGATTTTCAATAGTTCGTTATTAATAAAGTCGTCGTGTAATAAAAATCAAACCCGCAATATTATAATTTGCGTAATTACTGGTGGTAGGACCTCTTTGTGAGTCCGCACGGGTAGGTACCACCGCCCAGCCTATTTCTGCCGTGAAACAGTAATGCGTTTCAGTTTGAAGGGTGGGGCAGCCGTTGTAACTATACTTGAGACCTTAGAACTTATATCTCAAGGTGGGTGGCGTATTTACGTTGTAGATGTCTATGGGCCTCCAGTAACCACTTAACCACAGGTAGGCTGTCAGCTCGTCCAACCATCTAAGCAATAAAATAAAAAAACAGATGATAGGATATACATCTGGTATATTCTCTACTAGCTGTACCCGTCACCTTTGCTGGGCATTTAAAGTTAACATTATTATTTCTCACCCCCACAAAGATTCTTATCATTAACGCCCCCGCAACTAGTGTAGTGAGTTCAACACTCATATAAATATTAGCCTATCCATTAAGTACATGTATTTTCTACATGCATACCAAGTTTCAAGTCAATCGGATGCACGGTTCAGTAGTTATACCGGAACATCCGTAAAAACACTGTAGATTTATATATTAGTATAGAGTATAAATGTATTTATTCCTCGGATCCAGTGAGTTCCGTCTATGCTACTACCCACACAAGCTATCAACATTCACGAGCATGCTGGACGAGGCATTCGACAACCGAGCCCGGCACCACATCTACGGAGACTTCCAGCCGCTGGACAAGGTCCCCGTTCCTGCCTTCTACATACACGTCATGCAAAAGACTAAAAATTAAACAATAATTTGCATCTGAAAATGATCCGTATTTCCAACACTTTTAAGGAAAATTTGTTTAGCTTAAAGTAGATTCTAGGATCTGTTTAGATCAACGTCAATTTTAAATTCTTTTGATTTAAGACTGATTGGAAATAATTTTGATTTACTTTTTTCTTTCGCTGTAATACTTACATGGCATTAAATAGTTAATAAACTGTTGACAAACTGCTTTTTACTTTTAATCCTGAAAAATCTATTGCCTTGTTACCTATGTGTGTTCAACATGAGTCGCATTTATCACAAATTACTATTGCTTCACACTGACTAACTTAATCAATTTAGTATGATACATGGGGGTTGCTTTAAGAAATTATTGGAGATGATTCCGTCACCACATTTTGCCATCAGACCGCCCGCCGCCGGAGCAAAGTTCATCCACATTACCTGAAACCGCTGTGTTCATTCACAGTGTGTTTCCAGAGTTCTCTTTTGTCACGCACCGGTGTTTCTTAAGCGTCATGACGTGTCCTTCTTCAAACGAGGTCTGGGGAGAGTAACCAGCGGTAGGTAGCGACTTGACTGTATCTCTGGTATAGCTGACGTCCATGAGACGATAACCTCTCGTTATTAGGTCGGCTGCTCGTTTTTATTTTTATATTTTATGAAGTCGTCGTGGCCTAAAGGATAAGACGTCCGGTGCATTCGTATCGAGCGATGCAGCGGTGTTCGAATCCCGCAGGCGGGTACCAATTTTTCTAATGAAATACGTACTCAACAAATGTTCACGATTGACTGAAGGAATAACATCGTGTAATAAAAATCAAAACCCGCAAAATTATAATTTGCGTAATTACTGGTGGTAGGACCTCTTGTGAGTCCGCACGGGTAGGTACCACCGCCCCGCCTATTTCTGCCGTGAAGCAGTAATGCGTTTCGGTTTGAAGGGTGGGGCAGCCGTTGTGACTATACTGAGACCTTAGAACTTATATCTCAAGGTGTGTGGCGCATTTACGTTGTAGATGTCTATGGGCTCCAGTAACCACTTAACACCAGGTGGGCTGTGAGCTCGTCCACACGTCTAAGCAATAAAAAAAAAAAAAAAAAGCATAGATGGGTGGACAAGCTCACATCCCACCTGGTAAATTTACCAACGTAAATTGTTAAATGGTTACCGGAGCCCATAGACGTCTACAACGTAAATGCCGTCACCCACCTTGAGATATGAGTTTTAAGGTCTCACTATAGTTACAACGGCTGCCCCGCCCTTCAAACCGAAACGCATTATTGCTTCACGGTAGAAATAAGCGGGGCGGTGGTACCTACCCGTGCGGACTCACAAGAGGTCCTACCACCAGTAATTACGCAAATTATAATTTTGCGGGTTTTGATTTTTATTACACGATGTTATTCCTTCACCGTGGAAGTCAATCGTGAACATTTGTTGAGTACGTATTTCATTAGAAAAATTGGTACCCGCCTGCGGGATTCGAACACCGCTGCATCGCTCGATACGAATGCACCGGACGTCTTATCCTTTAGGCCACGACGACTTCGTATGCCGTCGCGTTATTAAGCTTCAACCTGCCAAACTTATCCTGATGTTGGCAACTATTTTCAATACCGCTATGACGAACTGCATCTTTCCCGCATTGTGACGTTATCAGCACACATAAGCCGCGTAAAATCCTAAAGATCACCCCGCCAGCCACCGCCTGAGCAGTCCCCTCATGTGTCTTCGCAAATTGTATGAGCGTCTGTTCTGTTTGGATTCCGCTCTGACGCCGGTCGGTCGACGCCTACCGACAAGCACGGTTCACGGTACCGTCATTCTAGCGCGTTGTAATGTAATGGTGTGAGGTTAGGCCCCCAGCCCGAAAAAAAAACAGCGTTATATTGTAAACTTACCTCAAGCATTCACGGGCATTACCTAGACATGGGCGGACGTCACCCGTGGCATCAGCTAACGAGTACGTAACAACCTCAGCACCAATCAATGTTATAGAATTACGGTATTATGGCACTTTTTGTCATCCCATTTTTTAAATTCGTATATAAAGCAGACCATATTGGATAAAATTTTATTGATTTTGGGCTGTATGCCTCGCTCTTATTTATAGTGTAACGCCAAATGGCGCCACTTTGTACTTCCTTCCTTCTTGTCATCTTTTATTTATGATGTGTACGAATTGCTAAATAAAAATAAAACGTTTAAATAGTTCAAAGAAGTGTTGTTTATTAACCTAATCTCAATAGACAAAACCTGTATTTCTTCAGCATTAACATATTAAGATAGATAACCTGAATTGGAATTAAAAAACAAGTACGGAAAATTGTTGTCAAAAATTCATTAACATCAGATGCGCCGTGGGTTCGGTGTGCTGACTTTGAGATTTTTTTATATTTTATGATTAGGCCCGAGGCCTTTCCAGTTTCACCAGGACAGGTGGGCAAGTAAAGGCTCAGCCAGGAGGGATGGGATTTGCTAACAGCTACCTGAGCGCCTTCGAAGAAGACCTAACAACTCAAAAGCAGCTGCTTCGCGAGTGATTCTACTACCGAATTGGAATCGCGACCCACTGAGAAGATCCGTCGAGAAACTCAGCGAGCTGATGCATGTGTTAAGTTGCACGTCGAACTCTTTGTCGAGTTCGATGTTTAGGGTTACCGGGGCCCGTAAGCCTTAGAGCTGAAGGCGTCTAATGCAAAGGTTATTGGATCTGATGGAACCGTAAGGACGTGTCTAGGGCGTCAACGGTGACTGGCTCCTGCCTTATCAGGATTCGGGGAGTAGTCAGTTGCGGCAACGATAAGGCGACTATCATGACGCACAGCCTTATTGAAGTACCGTTCCGACACTGACTTCATGTGTTTCCGGATGGATTCGAGGCTCAGGTCGTCGTGTAGGTCAACGTTCGTCACGAACAACGGGGCTCCGACGGCTAGCCTGCAAAAGCGAGATTGTATGGATTGGAGGAGGTCTATGTGTGTGTTGACCGCGTGAGCGAACACCACACTCGCGAAAGTCATGAAGGGCCCTATGAAATTTTTGTAAAGTGTCACCTTGTTCCGAAGGGACATTTTACCCCGCTTACAGGTCATGGGGTAGAGTCAGCCGCTCTGGAGTTTCCTCGCGATAAGGGACTTGTTTCTATTCGAGTAGTAAACGCTCGTGTCGTCAGCAAATAAGGCTAATTGGGTCAGCCGGGGAATGTCGTTAGTAAACAAACTAAAGCGGAGCGGAGAGAGGACGGAGTCCTGCGGGACTCCAGCCGTGAGCAGTCGCGGTGAGGAGCGGGATCTCTCAACTCGATATCGAAAAGAGCGGTTCGATAAGAAATCCCGTATGATGCGCACGAGACTGTCCGGCACACCCATGTTGAAAAGTTTGAAAATCAAACCTTTGTGCCAGACTTTGTCGAACGCTTTTGTGACGTCGAAGAAGAGAGCTCCCGTGTAGAACGGTTTTGGTTGGTTAAGGCTTACGATAATATACTCATGCGTACAAGAGGTGCACCACCTCTTGTACGCATGAGTGATTTGCACGAAATCCGAATTTTTCATTGATGAGAATGCCCTTGGATGAGACGAAGTCTCTGAGGCGTTTGTAGAGCAGACGCTCATACAGTTTGCCTAGAGACATGAGGAGGCTAATCGGCGGTAGCTCGTCGGATGGTTTTTGGGTTTACCGGGTTTATGCATGCCGATAGCATCCGCTTCTTTCCAAACCGCGGCATAGATACAGTTCGTCATTGCGGCATTGAAAATAGATGCCAACATCACGATGAGTTGGGCGGGTAGAAGCTTAATAACGCGGTTAGATATACCGTCGGAGCCAGGAGCGTTGCGAGGACGTAGGTCTTTGATTGGGTCTTTAACTTCCATCGGAACGGGTGGTAACGCATCCGAGGGTGGCAAGAAGGCTCTGCGTTCGATCTCACTATCTACTAATTCCACATGAACAGGGTCCGCGGATTGAGTGCTGGGCGTACACTGAGTTTGCAATGTATCAGCCAGCAGCTCTGCTTCTTCGTCATCATCGAACACCGTTGGCAGGGTGCGAGTCCTTCTAAGAAATCAGACCACCTGGCATCTCGGACTTCGGCGATGCGAGACTTTACGTCGCATTGCAGGGCACGCGTTCGAATACGACTTTCTTCGGTAGGATACCTATCATAGGCGCGGAACGAGGCGTTTATAGTTCTAAGGAGTTCCCTAACATCGTCGGACAATTAGAAGTGGTGGTGGAAGTCTTCCGCTACAATTTGCTTCGATGACCTACCTAATGTCGAGGTGATGTAATGTGACGTTACGATATCTATGGCTTCAGCTGTATCCTGAGGGAACGGGGTAGAGTCCGGGCTAAGCGGGAGCGATGGTTGATCAGATTCAGCCAGGCTGATGCCCAGCGTGTGCCAATCTACCACAGTTTTCGTGACAAGATCGATTTTGTTAGCTTCGGGGCTCGGGGCTCCGCGGTGTGCTTCTTACCCTTGTGTACGACAGGGATTAATACGTTGGTCGTCGGGGCGGGAGAGAGATCGAACTCCATGTCAGAGTCAGACGAGGATGATCTGCGGGCGGGTGCAGATGCTTCAGAAGCCGCAGAAGACGGCGCAGGCGCGACGGAAACTGCGATGCACGATGCTAGAATTTTGCGGGCTAGTATTGGAGACATAGGAACGGCGGGCACGACGGACACCGCGAAAAAACTCGCGGTGCGCTTTATAAGCTAAAATCTCCTATGAGATCGACGGGTAGTTTTCGCGGACGAATCCCGCGAGCAAAGCGTTGGTCGATTCCATCGCTGTGTGCCTAGGGGGGCTGCCTGGGGCAGCCGTTTAAACACGCGAGCCTTGTTGTGAGGTCCCAACGACGTCGGTGGCGTTTGGATTACCGAGCGTTTGAAATTACTTTGAACAACCGACCGACTACGATAGAAGGATTCCAGGAATTCTAAAGATGGCTCTATTGTTCACGGGTGGTAACGGGTCGCAATTAGGCGCATGTAGAAATTTCCGAGAAAGACTTGAGCGGCAGATGTGCCACGAACAATGATCGGGCGATCGAGTGGTTTGTGGGTACGTCCGCGCGCGGCGGTTACATTGGTCTGAAAGAATTTAAGATACAGTACTAACTGCTACAGTCATAAATAACTACACTTTTCGGAATGATAGACTAATATGTATATACCACCAACATTATCATCTCATTGAAATTTCATTTGTCAACATAGTAACCAGTAAGTAACGTGTGGTAAAAAATTGTAGTTTATTCGTTTGGTCGTTTATAGTTTGGTCTTGACATAGGTACTATACTATATGTTTTTTTCCTACCTAATCTGGTAGCCTCAAGAGGCTTTGAAAGCGTAACCTAGCTAGTAGGTGAACTCTCGGAGCTCTAACCTAGGGGTGTTGCTAACACTGACCCTAGCAAGAGCAGGGCTTCGCAGAATCTACCACCGGATCGGAAACGCGACCCACTGAGAAGATCCGGCGAGAAACTCAATAGGCTTAGGACCGTAATTGAGATGCAGCTCATTATTATCTTTAATTGGAAGATAATAGATAGTTAGATGTGTACTTGAAAAATCGTGAAAGTGCACGTGTAGCCAGAAGGATAATAATTTTAAGGAATGAAAAAGTTTGAACAGAGTAATATTATATCGAGTGGTTTCTGAGATTTCATTGTCTTTTTACAAATTTACAAGTATTTACAACCGTGAACACTAATCCCGCTTTCGTAAATTCATATTCATGTGCGTAATTCGGCAAGCTGATTTCCAGTTTATTTAAACATCTTTTGGTCTCCAGCCAACAATGCCGACGTACCAAGAACTTCACTCACGTGCCCTCAGCATATCTTCCAAGATCGAGACAATAAAAGACCAGTATGCCGATGGAAAAGCAGCTGGTATTTATAATTTGTTAATCGGAGACAGCAATCAGAGAACAAAGTACTATAAAGACTTTTTGATTGGTATGCTGAAGAAGAATAACTGCAAGAATATTCTCGACGCCGCATGTGGTACTGGGTAAGTAGATAATTAGTTGCAGGAAGCTGGTTGGCTACCCGACCTCGCTTATATCGCGTGCATTAACATTAAGATATTTGGCAGATTAATCATATAAAGCGTCAAAACCGTCACAAATACACCATACCGGTGTCAACCATGGTCACGAGTTGTCCTCTACCCTATGTTTTACGTGACTATGTGACGTCACTTGAGATCTTCCTGATTTTTTTTTAACGGCAGGAGTGTAGGCAAATCGACTCAAATAAAGTGGAACTGACTACATTTTTTGCACGTACACGAATAAAATTCAAGAAAACAAATTCCGAACGCCAATCCAGGCCAGACTCCGTGGAGAAAAAAACATAAAATGACCAAACTAATCTACGCCTGTTTCCGTGGAGAAAAACATAACAATACCTAAATTGGCGATAGCAGACTTTGCTGTAATCTGGCACGGACACTAACTGTCGTTAGGTTTTAACATTATTTTCAATTATTTTTCTAGAATAGACTCAATAATGTTAATTGATGAAGGATTTAAAGTTGTATCAGTGGACGCTTCTGATAAGATGCTAAAATATGCTCTCAAGGCTCGTTGGGACATGAGACAAAACTCTAAGTATGATCAATGGGGTAAGTTTTAAGAAGTACTTGTAAGAGATTCATAAGAAAAACACATTTCTGAGATATTTCTACATTACGATATATTTTATTTTTATAAAAACAAAGTTTCGAGATGACGGGCGAACTTTACTGTTTTCTACTAATCTAGATAGTTTTTTTTTTTTTTTTCTTCACTTTTGTTTTTTTTTTATTACTTAGAGAGTTTTTTATTACTTACTCACCTTGAGATATGTTCTGAGGTCTCAGTATAGTTACAACGGCTGCTCCACCCTTCAACCGAAACGCATTACTGCTTCACGGCGGAAATAGGCAGGGTGGTGGTACCTACCCGTGCGGACTCACAAGAGGTCCTACCACCAGTAATTACGTAAATTATAATTTTGCGGATTTGATTTTTATCGCACGATGTTGTTCGTTCTAAGTCGTAGTCAATCGTGAACATTTGTTGCGTACATATTTCATTAGAAAAATTGGTACCCGCCTGGGATTCAAACACCGTTGCATACCTACCCGTGCAGACTCACAAGAGGTCCTACCACGAGTAATTACTACTACTACTTTCTAACTCTACTAACTTAAGCATTTTGGTTTTGGGTGGTTATTAGAGTCCATCGACAAAACAAATGGAAAGGTTTAATGTAGAAGACACCATTTAATTTTAATGATTATCTCACCCTACACTTGAAACTGGGGCTCATAAGCGTGGTACAACCTTCCTTCCTGTTTCCACCCCAAAGCAAGGTCATAACAGCCTGTTCAGGCTCGCAAGAGGGCTTACTATCAAATGCTTAAACTATAAGCTTCAACAGGACAATTTCTTTCCCAGTAATTGAAGAAGCAAACTGGGAGACACTCCCGCAAGACATCGAGACGTTTCTACCAGATACCCAGTTCGACGCCGTCATATGTCTCGGGAACTCGTTCGCCCATTTGTTGGATGAGTACGGAGACCAAAGGATGCAGAAGCTGTGTCTGAGCAACTTCGCGAAATGCCTGAAGCCAGGCGGCCTCCTGTTTATTGATCACAGGAACTATGACGCGATAGTCAACAGTGGAACCACTCCGGGACATACTTTTTATTTTAATGTAAGTAAACAATCAGCTACGGGTAACGCACAACAATATCAACTAAAAAGAAAATAGAAACATTATTATGGCATTTTATTATTATTAAATTCATTTATTTCAGATAAAATATTAATACATATAACTAATGCCAGTAACATGATATCTTAAAAGAAATGCTGTTAGGAACATAGTAACAAAAATAAAAGAAAAGGACAACATACACACATATAAATACAATTAAAATATGTAGTCTACCATTACGAGCACATTTTATGGACCTCTCTACAATGATTGAGAAAAGGTCCATCTAATCACGAGAATATCATGGCCAGGATGATGTTATTATTTATAAATATTAATTATTTATTTTTATAAATACGAAAGTTTTACAATATTAGCTTAAATATCAGAATAGCACATACCTAGGCTATAATACCTCCTCCTCCTCCTCGAGTCGTGTTCCTCATGTCTGAGGGTCGTGACCACCATCACCATAAACTGGAAATCTGCTTGCCGAATTACGCACATGAATATGAATTTACGAAAGCGGGATTAGTGTTCACGGTAGTAAATACTTGTAAATTTGTAAAAAGACAATGAAATCTCAGAAACCACTCGAGGAAAGACGGCGATAACCTGGAAAAACTTATGATCACAGGGAAAGTTGAAGGCAACAGATCTAGAGGCCGCAGCCATACTCGTTGGTCCGATCAGATCCGCACCGCTTTGGACAGTACAGTGTACAACGCGCTGCATGACGCCGTGGACAGGGGACAGTGGAAAAAAATCCTAAGATTGATAATATAGTTATATATAGTGCGATCAACATAAGACAGACGGTGTGGAGTCGTTTTAAGAAATATTTGTTTTTTTTAAATATTCGACATTCACGTAGGAGGGTAACGGGTCTCACTGGTCACTAAATAAAACCACAATTACCTAATCACAATGCACAATGTCAAATGTGACTATTCATTGTGTTTTAATATAGGTGTTTTGTGGTTTAGTTAAATTAAACAGTAACCACGGATCAGCAGGAGGTCGCTATTGTCGATATTGGTATTAAACGCATTACCTTGATATTCATTTTAGGGTTATTCGTGGCTAATTTTGAACCAGAATTACCGCACACGTAAGGAAGTAGTGTTCATGGGTTCAACGTTCTCAAGTACCCGGCCACGAAAAGCATGTCCTATTTAATAAGATAATTGCGTATATCGTCTGTATGTCCATTACCGTTGACTGAATTGAAGTTAAATAAATGAATTTATCAACTCTCTACACTTAACTTATTTCCCATAGTATAATAATTTTTTAACACAAATAATGAAGCATGTCCATAAATACATAATAAAGACGTCGGTGTCTCTACAACTCGAGACAGCAAGTACAAGCATAGCCCTTTAAAAGAACGATCCGGAATTATTTGACACGAATAATAAGGCTAACCGTGATAGAAGTGCATACGAAGAAGGCAGAATGTAGGGGCCTTTTCTCTAGAGCAGGGCTGCGCAGACAACGGCCCGCGGCTTATTTTCATGCGACTCGCGACGCATGTTTTAATCAGAAAACAGTTTGGATAATAGAATTCTCTGTCAAAACATATAATGAATATTTGTTATAATTTATCTTTATTCTTGTAACATTCCATTCCCGTGACATCATTTAAAAGTTAAGCTGTCTTAATATAATTCTAACGCTGGCAGCGCTGCTTCAACGGCTGAAGGCCTCAAACGACGGAAATATGAAAATCTCTCTAAACATTTCATTTTTGTTCCGTTTGGGGTGGAAACTTTGGGCCCCTGGGGCCCATCTGCTAAAAGCTTTTTTAAGGACCTTAAAAAAAACTTTTTGAGGCCTCGGGAGACCAGAAGGCCGGTACATATTTTGCACAGAGAATTAGCATTGCTATCCAGCGTGGAAATGCTGCCAGCCTTCTGGGAACTCTGCCAACCGGCGGTGAGCTAACGCAGATTTTCTATTTATAAGTAGCTTTACCTAAATAATTATTATATTATCCTTTTTTGTCTGGAAAGTATTTTGTTTTTGAAGATATATTTTTTCTGCGGCCCTCCAGCTTTTCTAGTTAATTTAATTAGCCTGCAAAGGTATATAGTTTGGACAGCCCTGCTCTAGAGTATTTAATTTTGGAGGTTCAGACAGTGATCGTAAAAAAGAGTTGAAACTTCCACTTGATGCTTCAAGTTTTATGGCGAAATACATTTAATTTTGTTATGTCCTGGGCTCTATTATTACACATATCCGGATTTTTATTAGGCTGTGTTGATTTTCAGAGTAAGCACCCAGTAGACATTAATACCTCGGTGCTGGTCGTACGTGGTGAACCTGTACTCGTTATTTTAGATTACTGCGTATATCCTTCCGACGATGGAGAGTTAAAGGAAGCGAGGTGAGGAACCGACATGTTTTCTTAATGTCGCATAACTGGGACGACTTCTGAAGCTAATGCCAGGACGTTGTGTGGTAATAGCACGCATATTAGTTTAATCTATTTTAAGGTAGGTACAGCCAAGTAAGCTTTCAATATATTGGGAGTCCTCGACAGATAAATAAAAATTGCCAAAAAAAAAACAGAGCGAAACGGTACTTCACGCCTGCATTACACGCCTTACTACTAGGGAAACAAAAATGATCTCTTTTTTGCCATGGTACCGCACACCACAGGAGCAGAGTTCATCCAGAACTAAAACTGCTGCGTTCATCCACAGTGCTTTACCAGAAATCTTTTTTCCACGCACCGTCCGATTCTCGGATTCCCTTCTGCAATACTTTTCGAGCACTTATGACACGTCCTTCTTCAAACAGTAGTAGGCAGCGGATTAGCCGTGTTCCTGGTATTGCTCAAGTCCATGAGCAACGATCACCACTTACCATCAGATAGACCGTATGCTCATCTGCCTACAAAGCCGTTTATTACTTGTGGTAGTGCGTTTGTGAGCCCCACGGTTACCACCAGCCCACCTATTTCTGCCGTGAAGCAGTAATGCGTTTCGGTTTGAATGGTGGGTCAGCCGTTAAACTGTAAATACTGAGACTTAGAACTCATGTTTCAAGATGGGCAACGGCATTGACTTTGGTTGATTTTTATGGGCTCCGGTGACCAAATGGGCCGTGAGCTCGTCCCCTCATCTTAGCAATAAATAAATAAACAAGTAACAGTGTCCCCTACGAAATCTATTACAACATCTATTACCAAATCCATACCATAAGACTGTGTCTTATCTGTCATTCTACATGTCTTTTTATGAAAAGACTATGAAATATGTTTCAACGTGTGATACGTGTGGTACTAAAGTTTACGGCGTACCCGCGGTATCGTCGACACTGCTACAAACATGAGATCTATCGCTGTGGTATTCATCATTATTTAAATATATTATATATCTACCTGTGTGCTTAGTTCGAGTTTTTTAATTGAAACTGAAAGTTAACATAATATGGAAACAGAACAGCCTCCCTTTGATTGCCGCTAGGGGCGCTGTTCCAACTCCATACAAATCTGAGTTAACTTTTACGCGATCGAGAAGTTAAAAAATTCGCACGAAGCACACTGGATCTCTATTTTAAATTCTTTGAAATAGGCTAAAAATTCTGTAATGCACTTGTTTTTATTCCAGGGAGTTCAGTCTGCGTTACTACCCACACAAGCTATCAACATTCACGAGCATGCTGGACGAGGCATTCGAGAACCGAGCCCGGCACCACATCTACGGAGACTTCCAGCCGCTGGACAAGGTCCCCGTCCCTGCCTTCTACATACACGTCATGCAAAAGGCTAAAAATTAAACAATAATTTGCATCTGAAAATGATCCGTATTTCCAACACTTTCAAGGAAAAATTGTTTGATTTAAAGTAGATTCTAGGATCTGTTTAGATTGTCAATTTAAATTCTTTTGATTTAAGACTGATTGGAAATAATTTCAAATAAACGGTTGACAAACTGCTTTTTTAGTTTTTATCCTGAGAAATGTACTATTGCCCCTTACTTACTTATTTCTCTTCGACATGAGTCGCATTTATCACAGATTACTATTACTTTACACCAACTTACTCATTCAATTTAATATGGTCCATGGGGACTGCTTTGAAGAATTGTTTAAGATAATTCTGTCATCGCGTTCTATGACATGCCCTTATTCAAATGAGGCTTGTGGAGTACTTAACGGTAGGCAGCAGCTTAGTTCTGCCCCTGGCATTGCTGACGTCCATGAGCCACGGTAACCACTCACCATCAGGTGGGCTGTATGCCCTCTGCCTCCAAGGGCAATAACTTCTTATAGCGGCCACGAGACAGCAATAGACAGGATAACGATACCCACCCGCCTTTTACGATAGCCATGGAGAAACATTATTGTTGGGATATTGGAGGGCGAGAGACACCTGCGAGCAAAAAACCTAGGCTTTTTAATATGCCAGGTAGCCAAGAGGCAATGGCAAAAGCCAGCTTTTTTGAAGGTAAATATTATTAACTATTTTTTTCCTACGTATTCCAATGACCTCGAGGGGTTATGCTAGATTCAAGGAATGAGTTTTTGTTGATAACAACTGTATCATAACATATGCTTTAATAAAAGTATACAAATAAAAAAGTTAAACATCTTTCATTATACTTACTATTAATAGCTTTTTAACTACACTTTATGAGTGGAGTGGAGCTTGCAGCCCACCTGGTGTTGTGTGGTTACTGGAGCCTATGGACTGAAACACCCACCTTGAGACATGAGTTCAAAGACAGAGTTGTATAGTATAATACAACAGCTGCCCCACGCTTCGAACAGAAACACATTACTGCTTCGGCAGTATGATGGTATGTGGGGGCTCACAAGATGCCCTACAACCAGTAATATCTTCACAAGTAATAAAAACTTATAACTATTATTTACTACATACAAAGTGGCTTATGTCCCTGGTATTGCTGATGTTTAGAGACTGATCACTCACCATCAGATGAGCCATATGCTAATATAATACTAGATATACAGGCAAAGGCAGAAAAATCGTATGCGGGACAGTATGACATCCCAACATGCATAGTATTTCTCCACTATGGTACTATGCAAGTTAGAAAGTGATATTTGAACTTACGTTACATACTGAATAGTAATAAAACTAAATTACAAGAACCGAATAATTTATTTAGTTACGAAATTATACAATACAGTTTGTTGTAAATAATATAATATGTGAGGGGATGTTCTAACACACATGCTTGGGGGACCTTAATTATAATTAATGTCTAAATTAACTTATTTATCTATGAGCCGACAATTATGTTATTAATGGGGATATGAATCAGCTTTACAAAGAATCCAATGAAGCCCATGATGCAAAATCCGATGGCTGTTGCAATGGCAATCTTTTGGAATTCTGAAAACAAAAATACATTTTTATTATTTTAACTACTCCACTTACTAGGTATTAATGCTGTTTTTCCAATCTTTATCCACGTCGACTTTGGAATTATAGCATGAGTGTGTGCCTTGGAGCACACTATTGGTTCCATTTTGTAATTTATGTTATTACAGCAAAACTATCTATACCAGTTTTCAAAACAATTGTGTCTTTAATCTAGTGATCTTAGAAACTACATGATTTTATTTACACCAATTTCATATTGCCCGAGTTTGTGGACAACTCAACCCAGGGACAAGAGATCTAAGTCTCGCTTTAGCTTATTGGATTGCATCCTTGCTTAGGATAGAAAAGAGGATTTGGGGCATACATTACTTGTGCGAAATATAGAAGAAGCAGGGGAATCAAGTAGAATTTCATCCAATCCCAAACTTCACCAAAACCACATCACATAATCCTCTTGTAATATTACTATGGTCTTAGACAGTAATGACAAAAGTCTAAGTGGGTCACATCATACTGTAGTGGTTATGAGTTCTGGTAATCACTTAAAAATTAACAAAGTGTGCATCAACATATTTTTATTGAATGGATCAGTGAACAAACTCTGGATGCACTTAGCATAGTTATCTAAGCCTATGGATCTCACTATCATAATGTAAGCAGTGAATATACCAATATATACATTTTCCTTCAGTATTTTATTAATTATGAAGTAGCTAGTTGTTCACCCTTAAAATTTAAACATATTGTTTGATGGTTGTGATCTAAATAGTAACTTCATTATTGAAAAACCTAACTTGACAAAGCCATTTTTGTTTGTACTTAAGGTTTTAAACATGAGTTTGTTAAATAATATTTTTTAAATCTAACCTTTCTTTAAATGGCACAGTATTAATTAGTAGCTTTCAAACGTCAGAATTATTGTGTACGTTTACCATTTACAAGTGTTTCATTGTACGAGTGAACTTAAATGAATGTTCAGTTATTAGTACCTAGTTAATGAAACATAGCCTACCTTTCCTATCAGGTTTTGTGCATCTTCTCACTAATCTGATGGAGTCCTTAGCGAATTGCTTGCCAGGCTCGACGAATTTTGCGATCTGATCCATTATTCTGCAATTTCAACACGATAAGTTAATAAACTTCTGCCAATCTATTATACGAAACTTTTACACTATTGTTTATGTGAAAATCTTAAATGTTTCACTTACAAATTAATAATTCAACAGTCGTTTTGATGTTAATTCACGTCGACAATTATTTAATTGCTCTCGTCCCCAACTCAAAAACGTACAACTACAGTAGTGAAATGACAAACAACGCAAACGTCAGCCACGTTTAAAATTTTCAGGCACGTCATCAGAAACTTCACTTTTATTTTTGATAGATTTCGGATACACAAAGGTTTATGTGTTGCTATATAGAACAGAATTGCTATATTGGTGAGATTTAATTAAAATTAGCATAGCGTGAGAAAAAAAAAACCAGGATCATTTGTAGATAAAGATTTCCATGTCCGAAGCGTTCAAATCAATATCAAAACCGAGCGTTCGTTTGCTCACTCCGTACACATCACTAATATTGTGAGCCGTTTGTGCGGCATTGCTACCGGCGCTATTGCGATGGATCTCGTATTCCAAATAATACTCGTAATTTTTTCGTGATCTCATGGATGAAAAGGATATAAATGTGGTCAAAACCAATCAGTAAACAAATGACTGAATTTGAAACGAGAATTCTATATTTTTAAAATACAATTTAATTGAATATTGTATTTACACTCGGGTGCAATGAAATCGCACATCTGTACATTTTTTGAAAAATATTATTTACTTCTTTTAATTAAAAAAAATACATATATTTTTTAACATAGGGTTAAAGGTTAGTTCAATACCTATTCAATGATACTATATAAGTGGAGATAAGGTTACTTTCTTGAGGAAAATAAAATACAACAACAATTTAATCTTTATTACAAAATGATTACTCAACTAAACCGTTTAAAATTTGGGGATTAATAAAAAAAAAAACAAAAAATACTGAAAAATCATTTATTAGTAACAAGTATTGCCCCCTCTTGCCCGAATTACAGCTTCACACCGATTCCCCATCGACTCTATCAAGTTTCTGATAAAGCCTTGTGGCATGGCGTCCCATTCCTCTTTGAGCGCATTTTGTAGCTCCTGGAGATTAGCTGGAGCACTATTTCGACCTCTAATTTTTCTTTTTAATTCGTCCCACAAGTGTTCAATCGGATTAAGGCCCGGGCTCCGAGCTGGCCACTCCATCACGGGTACATTTACTTCTTGTAATTATTGTCTCACTATCGCAGCGGAAATAGGTCTTGCATTGTCATGCATAATAAGGAAGCTACTTCCAATTAAACGGCCAAATGGTACGACATGTTCTTGTAGAACTTCCTCTATGTATCGTTGAGATGTTAGACCTCTTGTTTGTCGCCTAATATTGACCGCAACGATGAAGACAAGCTCTGTTTTTCGTTCGAGTGAGATACCTCCCCAGAAAATACACGAACCACCGCCGTATGCTACATGTTCTGTGATGCAACATTGGGAAAATCGCTCTGAGCGCCTTCTGTAGACCCTTCCACGTCCATCATTATCATGAAGACACATTCTGGACTCGTCTTAGAACAGGACTGCTTTCCACTGGTCGGCTGTCCAGTTGACGTGTACTTGTGCAAATCGAAAACGAGCCCGGCGGTGAGCTGGCGTCAATTTAGGGCCATTTGCTGGCCTATGCGCAGTCAAACCACCTTCGGCAAGT